CAAAGGGAGAAATGACAGGATTTCCATAATTCAGCCTAAAATTTAGGATATTCAATATAATGAGAAGAATGTGTCTTGCTTACATGAAAAAGAGACAGAATGCCTTTCTCGGTCCTTCAAGTGCAAAGAATCTGCACAGAGCAGATTTAAAGCCCAGCAGTAGGAGGGCTGGGGCCGCGGCTGCAGCTGTCGCACGTGGGTGAAGGAAAGGACTGACAGTCGGTGTGCACGTCGGTGCGTGAAGCGGTGGGGACAGAGAAATAGGGGGAAGCACAGGAAATAATAGAGAAGAAGGACGTTCTCAAAAACTTCCATCTGAGAGGTCATTTGCTTTAAGCTGTAAATCTGGAAGCTTCGTGCCTTGGTACTTGTTTTCAGAAGGCTGGAAGAGAGGGACAGTTCATCATTCCCATCCGCCCCCTCTCAGCTCTTTACAGACTTGGAAGCAGGCTTCTCCCAGAGTTAAATTCCTGGTTCAGCCGCCCCAGGGTCTGGGGGACCTCCTTTTTCTGGCTTGCCCGGGAAGTTCAGGGTGAAGGTATTTATATTTTTCTGAGTTCCTCTTTTATGCTGGGTAATAGGACATGTATCTTGGGTTCATTACTGCCCGGGCAGGAGTTAAAATGGCAATGTCTCCATCATCTGGCTGTGGATTAGTTCAATGGTTATAGCAGGCTTCTGGTGGGGCTCACGGGGTCCCGGGGTTGGAGCTGGTGTGGTAGGTGACAGGCACAGGACATGTTGCAGTTAAAGGTTTGCCTTTGGTGTCAGGAAGGCCTGTCGGCCGCGTGTGGTCCCTGTGCGTGTCACTCAGTCCTCAGCACGATCACTTTACCGCATGGGCCTGGTAGACCCAGCTCAGCGTCGTGAGGAGGCTAAGGCAGGACGGAGCGGGTGAGGTGCACATCTCGGTGCTGCGGCGTGCGTCGCGTGCGCAGTGGAAGGGGGCGGTCACGGTCATCGTCGTTTGTGTTACTTCCATTTAAAAAAGGGGGGAATCGAAGCTTTGAGTGAGAGCTTTAAATGATATGCTCACGGAATTACATCGCTGGTTTGTGACAGAGCAGGCTCTCGAACGCAAACCTGGTTAACCCCCAGACCACCGTGCATCTGGTCTTGAGAGAAACTGTGGCTTCGGTCATTGTTCCTGATGCGCATATGGTTTTCCCCTCATTTAAAACTCGATTTTGTCCTTATATTCAAACTGTTTATGTAACAGGTTCTTGAAATATTTTAGAGCATCAAAAATAGTCCTTCCAGCTCTCACAAATTGATTCCCCCCTAAACTTTATTTATAAATTGGTTGTTTGAAACTCAGAATGGATGTTTCCTTGGGAACCGGTAGTCGTGTTCTCAGGCAAGTTCATCAAAGCCCCCCGGCCTTTTCCGCTCCTCCCTGTCCGGCACTTGGTATTTTAATCCAGGGCTTTTCTGATGGACACGCCATCAGAGTTGCGTGAGAAGTTTTATAAAAATGGAGGATCGCACCTCAGACGTTTTGAACCGGAATCAAGCGGCGAATGTGCCGGATGCATCTCGGCAGAATTGAAGCTCCACACCGTGAGACAGGGCAGGGCCTGTTGTGGTAAAGAACCCAGGGGAAGACCACTGTGGCCGGAGTTGAGACTGCTCGTCTCTTCTGACCTCTGATATGTAACATTCATTGTAAAATACTCTAATAAAATGACCACACATACCGTGCCCTACAGAGCCCGGCCAGGCGTTCCTCTCTTGATCCTACGTGCAACAGGAAGGAATTAAAAATAAGGAAGGGGAATAACATCAGATTTGCATCCTGAAAAACCCTCGGCTGCATTTAGTCAGACAGGAGGCGTTGCACAGGCAGAGGATGGACCCTTGGCGGAACAGGACCCCAAATTAGGCAGACACTTGGAAGGGTCGGCGTTTCTCACTCGGCATCTTCTTCCGGTGCACATTTACATCAAGTGTATTTAACTTGAGAGCAGTCCCTAGATTGCTCCTGAGCTAATCAGCTGTTTCCATTGTGATAATTCTTGATGTCTTTGTGTTCCTTTAATTAAAACCGCAGTCCCTACGATAGAATCAGTTTTGTCGTGGAGTATAGTTTCTGGAACTGTAACCGTCCAGTCTCTGGGTGTGTAAATAACAGGAGTTTTCTGTCAGTTCCCCTGTCTCTTCCTCCTTTGCTCTTGTTTTGTGCTGGCTTTCACTCTGTGCCAGTCACAGGTGGATGCTCAATATCACCCCACAGCACAAGATAAATAAGCTTGGAAGGTTTCCTAGCAACATATTGTTCTGGGAACTTGTTCCATTTCCCTGAGCAAGCTGAAGCCAAACATCCTAGAAGCTCAGCCAGATGGGAAAGGATTAGCTTATTGAAGGTGTTCAGTCTGTTTTTAAAAAATTTCACTTGGAAATGAACCTCTTAACATAACTATCAGGGTTGTCTTTTAAAAGGACACTCTTCTACTTCTAAAAACATCTCAGTACATGTTTGAATATTAAAATATGTGCTTTGAGAAGAAATTCTCTAGAAGCAAACTTGCCATATGAATTGAGTCATTGGTGAGCAGATCCTTTAGAGCCACGTAGAAAATACTTCCACCCAGGTCTGGTGTTCAGCCTGGTACCCCCTGGTACTGATGTGCGGTTTTGAAGATAGTGAAATACTTGTGATCTGTGGGTAAACTGTTACCAGAATATCCCTCCTCCCCTTGGCCCCTTGTCCCTAGGGTTACACGTGAAACACCTGTCCCTGCTAGAACTCTCAGACTACTTCTCTCTTTTCCCTCAGTGCCAGTGATTGCCACTTCAAATTGAGTCTCTCCCCTCCCCCAAGTGTATGATTAATGCATACAGAGAAAACTAGAAGAAATTGAGGCCCTTCTCAAGGTCAGGAAAAATGACATCGTCTTATCACATGATCATATAGAATGTCCTTGGTCATCTGATGACCTTGGAGCCCCACGGTTGGCAGGCACTGCCTTTTTCCTGCTGTTCGTGTGGTTGGTCACAGTGTGTGGGTGCAGTTCCCTGGAGGCGGCGCAGTAACAGGTTAACATTCTCACTACTGTCGTCAACCGAGGCTCTGCAATTCAGTCACACCCTGGGGTGCATCCAGCTTCTTGTTGGACTGGGAGACAGCCCCCACCGGCAGGATGAAGACTGTCCTGTTGGTGTCGAATGCCTTACCTGTCTTCCAGGTTTGCCTGGGTTTGGGAAGCTGCCCAGTGGTGGTAAGAAGCAGATTGTTCTGCCCTTCACAGTGCTCCTGGGTGGGAGGAGCAAAGCAATCACCATGTGATGGTTGGCTCTGCTTTGGTTTTTGGCTTTTTGTTTTTGAACAAACTTCTCTGCCCAGATTCCAGAGAATTCAACCTTCCTCCACCCAGAAAGCTGCACGATAATTTCACATCTGTTCAGGTGCTGTCCATTCTCTCTGGCACTGTCACACACACACACACGCGCGCGCGCACACACGCGCACGCCCACCCATCCGCGTGTGCTTGTGTTCTCTAAACTCCGTATTCTGAACTTGACAAGGAGCAGTCTGCTGAGAGCATTGGCTGGGCCACCCCAGCAGACACCGAGACAGACGCGCGGGGACATCGGCCCCTCACCCTTGCCTTCACCGGGTCCTCGAGAACTCAGCCGAATAGCACGTCCGTAACCGTTAGAAAATTAGATAAGCTGTTTCTCTTCACTTTCGGTCACTTCCTTTAGGACCTAAACATTAAGATTTTGATTTCTAAAGGAATGATATCATTTTGATTATGCAAGGAAAGCCGAAGGGTCGATTTAATCTGTTCTATGGAACATAATAGAACAGATTAATGGAACATAATTGTAATATTTTAATTTTGAGGGGATATCATTAAAAAACAATTTAAGAATTTCCACGAACCATACACTATTTCAGGTGCTTTACCTGCATCATTTATTCTCCCGACACCACTCTGAACTGGAAGTTGGCTTGCCTGTCATTTCACAGGTACGGTCGGCGCTCACACTCTGTGTCTCCAGTGCCCAATGCTTATTTGTTTTTAAAATCCTAATGTTCTGTAAGTTTCTAGCCTTTTCTCAGAGAAGAGTAGACTAGTACTGTCTTTTAAAGATGACGTAATTCTAGCAAGGAGCAGATGAGCTGTTTGGATGATTTCCTGTCGCCTCCTTCAGCACCATGATTCCTTTTTTTGTTGTTTTTTAAGCTATCAGTGACAAATTTAGAGTCTTCTTTCTGTCTGGTAAATTAACTTTTAAAAAAAAAGGCTGTGAGCGCATTTTACTGAAGGGAAGGTAGTTAACAAAATTAATAGCACTGACAAATAGATGAAGGAGAAAAGGGTGTGGTGGTGTGTCAGCAGCATTGCAGAGCAGAGACGGACAGACTGCAGCCGTTTCTGTGAGTAAGTTCATGAGACACGGCCAGACACGTGTGTTCACATGCCCTTCGGCAGCTTCTGTGCAGTCACAGCAGAGTGAGCGGGGCAGGTGTGGCCTCGACCGCTGGACTGCTGGACTCCTGGACCCAGGCCCACAGTCCGCACATGGACTGTCAGAGAGAGTGTGCGGTGGCCCCTCCTCCGGCATCCAGATGGTCCCCCAGCTCTGAGTCGGGCGAGCCCATCAGAATGCCTGAGACTTGGCGAGGAAACAGCTCAGAAACATTTTCCTCGGTCACCTCCCGTCTGACTACCTCCCCTGTCACCCCGCAGGTTCCGACCAAGAAGCTGAAGAAGTATGAGAAGGAGTATCAGGCGATGCGAGAGAGCCAGCTGCAGCAGGAGGACCCGATGGACAGATACAAGGTACAGGTGTCCCGGGCGCCCACCAGGGCAGTGCCCTCCGCACCTAGGGCAGCACCCGCGGCGAGTTTGGTCCCTCTGCCCCTGCCCGACCGACCAGCACCTGTCTGACTGTTGTGTCCGGTCCGTGTCCAGGTGTGTGTTCATTTCAGGAGGCCGCCTGAGTAGCCAGCCCACCATAATACTTCTTTTCTTTCAGTTTGTATATTTGTAGGTAACGCCACCTGTTGCATTTATACTGGGAGTCTTCCTAAGAAGCTGAGAGAAAGAGAGGGGAAAAGAAAGAGGGAAAGTGGCTCTCGACTACTTTCAAACATGAGGAAAAAGGAAAAATGGCCAAGTGCTGTTTTAGCTGTGCACGGTCGCAGCCACAGAGACTCTTAGAAGGTGACCCGGTCCGGGACTGGCACGAGAATGTTTCAGACACACCCGTGTCTGTAGCAAATGTCAAAAGCACAGACTCCCTGGAAGGATAAATAAAAACCACAGAGGTTGTATTGAGCACAGTGATGGTGTTTGTCGCAACTTTTATTTCCACAAACAAGTTTCTGAGTGACAGTGACGTTCCACTACAGTATCCAGTTGCAGAGTCAAAATGGTTTCATCTTAACATCTCAGTTGAATAACTAACAGCATTTGTTTAAATTGGGCTATTCACACAGATAGATCTCTTCAGTGGTAATGATGCAATGACCGAATCTGAGCTTATTTTTCACCCTGAAATATTATCATTTCTCTTTAACATATTTCAATTCTTCTGGTTCCTACAGATCTGCACTTCCCTTTCTCTCCACTTCAGTACATTAGGAGAAGAGAACATTGTATTTGCACCGTGAGCCATGGCACAATGTCCTGCCAAAAAAGAAAAACACTGGGTGGCGTTATGAATTAAATCGCCCACGGTGGTGTCGCTTCCACTTTGGCACTAGAATTGCCCTTGTGCAGGCGGAGGGCTGGGCCCGGGCGGCTACGGGCACACAGTGCATCCTGTCTCTGTTGCTAAATTGAATGGCGTGGGGGTTCAGAGAGGGGTGTGGGGGACCAAGTACGTCCATCTTGTGGTCAGACCTGAGCTGGAATCCTGCCTTTCAAAAAAAAAAAAGGCCAGGGTTTGGGATCCAAGTTGAAGGTTTTTAATCCCCATGCCATTGTTCATTGTCTTGAACTAACTATTGAGCCTCTCTCTTGTTTGCGAAACATGTACTATTCTCATTCCCTTGAAGGATGGTTGTGAAGTTGAGGGATGGTGTATGTTCAGTACCCGGCACGTGGTTGGTACGCCCTGCATGGTTGTTTTAGCCTGATTAGGCCTGCGGCCTCAACGTACCCAAATATTACTGGGGTAGCACCACCTTACGTGCGCCAGTCTGTAGCTGATCTTCCTCATAGTTCTCCCAGGTGTGGCTACCCAATAACCTAACATGAGTCTGTTTTCCCCTTGTGCATAGAACTGGCTGCAGACCTGTCTCCCAGACCCTCGGATAGACAGCCGTAGCACAGCAGGCGCTCGCCGAGCGAGGTGTGAAGCTAGCCGCCCCCTCGGCGAACCAGTGTCGGTGCAGCTCACAGAGCGCCCTGCTTTGGGGAGGCTCGAAGTATAATTAGGAGGTATTTTTGAGGATCCAACATGAAGCCTTCCCACCGCTCACGTCATTCTAGTTTTCTTATTGCTGCCATCGTTAAAAATAAAATCTGGGAAGAGTGCTTCAAAATAGAAGGGAGGGAGACTGAAGACTAAAATCATAGGTGTAAAATCCGACCGAGACTCAACTTGTCACTGTTTCTTCAATCCTTTTTGTGTCAAAGCAGATATGTATAAATTAATAGTAAAATGCACGTTATTTTAAAAATGCTCACCACGCATAAGACTTACTGATGTGTGCAATTTTTGTTGAGGGGTCAAAGTAGAATTAAACCTGTTTTTGTTTAGAAAGCAGGCGTGACCTTTTAGCTGCAGTGCTGTGGCCCCGCCTGTGCACTCACCAGGCTGCCTCTGTAACTGCTCCCTTTGCGTTACGGGCACAGCTGGTCAGTGCCGCCCGCCCCGTCTCTCCAGACCCTTTAATACTGTCTAGACATTTGTACGGGGAGAGACGTAATGGGTAAGATATGGCCCTCAGATTATAACGATATTTTCAAGGTGACAGTTGACAACATAGTTTTCAGTCATCCACACATTTGTTATTTCACATCTCCAATTTCTAGCTTAAGAAACTAATTATAATCTTAATCATACTAGGGTCATCTTAGGGAATACTGTTTAGTGTCTTCCAAATTGAGTCCTGTCAAGGCTCCGATCTCGGTCCTGGGAACTTTGGAATTCATAGATCGCAGACTGGGAACCTGCTACGTAAATTCTGAAGAATAGCTTGGGAAGCATTTCGAGGCTTTGAGTCGAATCCAACACCAGTTCGCTGACACCACCTCCTCCATCGTTAGGACCCACACCGCTCACAGTGCCCCATTTCCTCGGGCTTGCCACAGGCAAGCAGGAGAGGTGTGGGAGGGCATGGGAGGTCTGTCCATCTAAAAAATGGCCCAGGGCTGTCGTGCAGTAAGCTACTGCTAGACCGCATTCAGTCTGCAGACGCCGTGTGGCGGTGGGCAGGATGGCCTGTTGCGGGGAGGCCAGAGGCGGGTTAGAGACCGAACAGGGCAGAGCTGGCTCTCTGCAGTCACATCTTGCTGCCTTACGTTCCATCCAGGCCCGTGACCTGGGCTTATTTTTATGACGTACACAAACATGCATTCTCGGTTTATGTCACTGTGCTCACCTGTGTCTAACACTTAAACCTCAGCCACAGAGGAGGAGATGAAACAGGGTTGGTTTGAGTGTCAATTCTAGAACCCTCCAAGAAGTGAAAATGTTTCGGAATCAGATAGTGGTGACAGTCACACAACTTGGCGACTCCAAAGGACCCGCTGAGCAGTGCATTACAGAAGATGAATTTTATTGGCTTTTACGAATTTATGTGAATCCCATCTCAAAAGGATGCAAGCAGAATGTCCCAGGAGGATGGGCATCTGGCCCATCATCTTCTCTTCATCAACTCCCAGTCACTTAGAGGTCCCTGTGCAGAAGACAGACTTGTGGGAGCGGAGACCGTCCCGTTGGAACGGAGCCAGTTAGTGACTGGAGACCCAGTGTCCCCATATTTATAGGGGAAAGGGCAGCACAAGTGGGTCATGTATTCATTTCCATGTGCATACAGGTATATATGAAAGTACACACACATGAAAATGAATGCATCTAGTCCGTATTTCTATTCTGTACATTTTCATAAATATGGTATCTGTGTGCATATGTACATGCACAGAGATGTAAACGTCTGTCTATGAATGGCTATAATGCACCTGTATACACCCTGCCCGCCTACCTGTCTTGGCATCTGTTGCCTTTGAAACTCCATGAGCCCTGTCACGGCCGCTTGCAGCCTGCGGTGCACTTCTTCCTTTTACCTCCATGGCCAGAGCTCAGGACAGAGAAAGGAAGCTTGAGTGGAAGAAGGATGCAGGGCATGCATCCCGAGTCTCTTTTACTGTCCTTGGTCTTGGCCTGGCCCAATGTGTGGAGGAGCCCTGGCGGTTTGTAGGTGTGTGTATTGACTTCGGATGAGGTGACGTGCAGGGGAAAGGTGTGTCTGTAGAAACACATCATGTGTATTTTCATTTTCATGCAGGTCCCCAGAAAACAAACATTCATGGACATGTGTCACTGTTTCAGTACATTTTATTTTATTTTTTTTTATAGATTTTATTTATTTATTTTTAGAGAGAGGGGAAGGGAGGAGGAAAGAGAGGGAGGGAAACATCGATGTGCAGGAGATACATCCATCAGTTGCACGCCCCCAACTGGGGACCAAGCGTGTGCCCTGACTGGGATCACTGCCTTTTCGGTTTGCAGGCCAGCACTCAATCCACCGAGCCACACCAGCCAGGGCTGTTTTAGTACATTTTAAAAATTAGTTGCCAAGCCTCTAATAAGCATTTGCCTGTGTCAGAAATTAAAATATTTTCTATTTTAAGGAGGTGTATTGTTCCCTTTGGGGGAATTTGGTTTTCTAATCATTTAGTCAATTGACAGTACTTTTCAGAGAGTCACTGCCTCCAGCTGCCTCCAGGGGGTGCTGTGCTTTCCTCGTTTAATTACAGAACCGCCGGCACCAGTGTGGGCCCAGCCTGAAAAAGCACAGCTAATTAATTACATTCAGTGAGTCTCCCAGAGCACGAACACGGTTATGTCATTACCTGCTCTAGACGGGCACATCCTAGAATCAGGATTTGGGACACCGATATTACACATGCATAATTTCTCATGTAATATCCATGTTCAGTGTGATTCAATTTTGAATGTTTAACTTCTTTCTTGAAGTTAGACATAATAACTTTTAAGTCAAAGTGTAATGCAAACAGAAAGAAAAGGATTCCTCTAAGTTGAAAAGTCTCTTGCACGTACCAGTTTTTGGAGAGCACTTGTCCCTGCGTGTAATTTAAAGCTGAGGTGTTGCGTTGCGCGTGGTTAAAACAGTGCAAACAAAAGATCGGAAGTAAAGCTTGATTGCACTTTACTGTTTGCCATCCCCACGTCTAATGCAATAAATTAGAACAATATCACATTTTGCTTTTAACTTGACTAGTGAAGAATTTAATTACGCTAAATTTCTTACCTGGGAAAAAAAAGTTTCCCCTTTTCTCACTGTGTTGGGTCCTTCCTCATTCAGAGAAGTCAAGATATGTGACTCCATGTTTGAAAAATGTTTTTCTACAGATGAAAAGAAAGTTACATTTTATTATTTTCCTGTATCACAGACTGTGGTTGGCTTTTGGAAACATTTGTTATAAAATAATGTGCTTTTCATGACTAGCCCTAGTGAAGAGGGTGGTTTCTATAGTAACCAAAAACTTGGCGATAAACCTCAGAGGACCACCTCTCTGCCCTTTTGAGCTTGGATAGCCAGCGCCCTTGCCGTGGGCGGAGCTGGGGCAGCGCAGAGGGCAAGCCCTTGGCCTCCTAAGGCTGCTGGAGCAGCTTAGCTCAGAAGGAGCAGGTGGCTGCTGATGGCGCTTGCCTGCCTATGGAGTTATTCTCAACACTGGGGGAAGTATAAATGGTGTGATTATTAAGAATTCCTGCATATGTTTATTGGTAATCTTCAGAGTGAATCCTCCAAAAATTTTCTAAACTTTTTAGTAAGTTTTGTTTCCTGTTGAAGTCACATCACTGAGAAAGTTACGTCATGCTTTTGTGTTTCTACATCCTCTGTAACCCATTTGCTTCTTTAAAATTTGATTTGTGTGCTAGAGTAGAGCAGGGATTTGCAAACTACAGCCCATGGGCCAGATCTGGCCCACTGCCTATTTTTATAAATAAAGTTTTATTGGGACACAGCCACATCCATTTGTTTAGTTACTGCTCACTTTTGCATGCAATGACAGAGTTGAGTAGTCTCAAAGGCTACATGGCTTACAAAACCAAAAATATTTACTATTTGGTCATCTACATTAAAAGTTTGCTCTCCCCTGTGCTGTTTAATCTAAGATAATTTTTAAGTGCCAAATGAAATGCAGTCTGGTGACTGCCAGACTGCCAGGTACTTAGTCCTGACAAGATCTTGTTTTTAGTTTGACATTTAAAAATTTTAAACCCCCACCAGTTAGATAAAATTGGATATTTTGGGTAAAAGAAGAGCGTAGCATGATTTTAAATGTATCCACGTTTTCCTTCTCAAATCTCCATTTACAGACGATGTAGACATTTCAGCATTTCATCTGCAAGCATTTCTCTCTGAATGTCAAAAAACCTGATGAAATTTGAAGGTGATGACTATCAGCTCTTTTGAAAGAGGTATCCAAAACAAAATCAGTGAGAGCCAAGTGTGCTGTTGGTGACAAAATTGCATTGGACCTTTTAGGAAAACATTTTTTTCTGACCCTTAAACGTCTGCAAAAACACGTGCCAAGAATTCATTAGAGCAGCAGACACACGCCCAAAACACTGAGCTATGAGCTGGCGTTCCTGAAGCTGCCTCCCGCCCCATCATTTTTTCCTTTAAGGCTCAGTTTATTCTCTTTTGATTGCCAGCTCACATTTTTCTGTTTTTCCATCTTGGAAAAAGTGACGTTCTCCATTCCTTCAGTCCACCACACCTTCAGCCCTCAGACCCCGGGGGAGGCCTGGGACCCATTTCTCTCTTGCGTCCCCCTGTCTGTCCAGCAGTGTCACTCTGTTGCTGGAAGATGACGGACTGTTGTGCAAGGTTTCCAACCTTGTTGTGTAAGGAAGTCCCTTCCACCCAGCTCTGACAGCGCAGCATAAACAACTCGCACCGAGTTGCTCACAGTTCCACACAGCATTCCCGTCGGTCACACAGACTGCAGAGAGCCCCTGGGGAGGGAGGAGTCTAGTGCGTCTCGTCCTGAGCCGAGACTGGCCCTCTGGCTGCCTCAAGTGTACTTCCTCCACCCCAAGTGCTGGCCTGGCCGCCCCAGGGAGACCCGACAGTGCGTCCGACCAGCATTGCCACATGTCTGTTCTTGTTCCCGCCACTTCCTGACTGTAGGAGTAGGTGTGCAGTTTCATTGGATCTCCTTTTCAATTGTCTTTGTACCTATGATTGAAAACGGTAGTTGGTCTAGGACTTTTGAGGAGGTAAGTTTTTTTTCTTAATCTATGTATGTCTGTGATAGCAGCGTCTGTCTCTGAAAAATGCAGTATCCTCCTCCCAAAAGCTGCTAACCACACTCCCCCAGCTGCACGCCTGTGCGGGAGGGGCGGGGGTGGATAGAAAAGCTGCCTGTGGCTTTCTGTGTGGCTCTCCATTCCACGGCCTGCCGTGGGGCGTGTTGAAGGGCTCTGGAGGCAGTGTCTCCTGCAGTCTTTGCCGAAAGGTCAGGGGGAGGAGGGGGCGTTGGCCTGCTCTGTTCACAGGCTCCGTGCACGCAGCATCCCTGCCCATGCTGACATGTAACACAGAGGGGCCCAGGGCTGGGGTCAGGGCCCTCTGGGGTGGGCGGCCCTGGCTAACGTTTCGGAGCGAGTGAAGCAAGGTAACTGCCCTTCCCAAACCCATCCAGTCAAAACTCTCTTCTCCGTCCTGGTGTAAAAGCAAACTTTTTTTGTTGAATTGGCCAGTTCTGAAGAGAGTTTTGACTCCTCGGGACAGGCTGGCCCTGGCAGCATGAGTGGCCGCGGAGGCCTCGCGGAGGCCCCCTCAGGGCCCCGGGTTCTCGCCGTGGAGGATGATACTGCATTTCTGGCCCCGTGGCTTTGCTTCGCCTGCGTCTGTGAGCGCAGAGCCAGGCCCGTGCTCCCCACTCCGCCGCTGGCTTTGCAGACACTGAACTGGAGCTCCCTGCTAAAGCAAAATCAGGTGTGCCCCGGCTGTTGCGCTTGGTAGGGACCCTGAGACGCCTCCTTTCTCCCCAATATTCTCTCGTCCCCCCACCCACTCAGCTGTGTGTCTGTGAGGAGGGGTTCCAGCCATGACAGTCTTGGAATGGAAAGTCCCAGGCAGAATTCAGCCGAGCTCACGCTCTCTTATATAATATAACCCACCAGGCCCATTGCTCATCAATAGGGAAAGTAGTGACCTGTGCTTTTTAAATACTGTCAACAAAGTCCTTTTCCACTCACATCGCGTGGCTTTACCTGGAGGTCAACTCGACTCTTAAGTGTGTGTCCTGCAACCTGAAAAACTGGCAGCTGCCACAGTTTCACTAGTGCCAAGGGACTGTGATGTGGATGCCAGGGGACCTTGTCGTACCCTGACGTCCCACAGGTACACTTCCGGCAGACACAGGACACGGAACGCAGGAACAGGTGTTGCAGTAGTCTTACCAGGGCTGCTTCAGAAGGGATTCTGCAGGAAATGAGAAGAATGTCTTTTCTGCATCGTGAGATACGTCGTGAGGAAATCGTGCCGGTACCGCTGCCTGTCCTACCAACGAGGGCATTTATTAGGAAAGTTTCTGAACCTTTTTTAAAAAAAGTCTTGAGTTTTTGACAGGGACGTAAGTTGTTTCCACGATAAGGGGTGAGAGTTGGATGTATTGGAATGGAAGACTGAGGCTCCAGCGGCTGCTACGGTTTGGGTCACTTCCACAAAGCTTGAAAGATTCAGCCTGAGACACCCTGGCCTCTGTTATGTCAGCCTCTCTGTTTCTTGGGCTCAGTGACAGGAGACGCCTGTAGGTGGAGGGACAGAAGGAATTTGATGAGCACAGTCTGTCCCTACAAACACGCCCGCTGCCCTTCCGGGAGTAACTTGGAAATGGATTTCTGGTGAGGCAGCGCTTTGAGGGGTTACATTGTATCTTGGTCACAAGAAAGATCCAGGGTGGTTTCACGTAGAAAATGAGCTTCTAACAAGAGGGACTTAAAAAAATTATTGTTTGGACATTTAATCATTTACAGTGGAATTGATGTTCTAAATTGCCTTTTATTTTTTAAGCAACTTTTTAAACTTTTAAAATACATGTTATATACTCATTGTAGAAAACTTGGGAACCTCTAAATATCACCAAGACAACAGTAAAAATAATGTACAACCCACAGTTAATATCTGTTATTTATGATGTTATAAAAATGGAATTTTCTAGTTAGCTCTTTTTCTACAAGATAGTATAGCATTGCTCTGTTGCTACATATTTTTACTTATATTTTAATACTACATGGAATTCCATCATGAGTTTATTTAAAAGTATCTCAGTGATTTGGGATTTGAAAATCTTTTTCACTAGACATCCTTTTCAAAAAATGTTTTAACATCCCCCAGTTATCTTGGTCTGTTTTCTGCAAAAGGAAAGACTGAAATGAGCCCTTGTGGCTGGTTACAGTTCAAGCCCGAGTTTGGCCCTGTGCTTCTTTGCTGGCCCTGCTCAGATCTTCTGCCCCCACGGAAGTCTCTGGCTCTGTCCTCCCCGTCCATTGCTTAGCCCTTCTTTGAAAAACAAAAAGAAGAAAGAAAGGTTTTCCGCTTTCCATATAACACACCCCAGTTTGTCCTGTAAAGAAGATAAAATCCACCACACACACACACACTCACACACACACACACACACACACACACACACATGCCCAGAGCATGCTATTACACACCCTCTTCCAGGACATAGGTCTGTCCTCTTGTCTTGCACCGCGGCTTTGAGTTTTTGCCAGCCTCGTAGAAAACACTGTTAGGAGTGTACATCTGAAAAACAGAAGGTGCCGTCACCTCGAAGTCTTTCCCAGCAGTTCTCTGGAGGGGCCTGTAACAGCCAACAGGGGCCGAGAAAGCACTTTGGATTCTTTAGCATGGAAGGCACCCCATTGCTGCTGCGACGGGGAGACCTTGCTTCCCAAGGATGCGACGCGGCTTGTTCTTGTCATTTAACTTTGTTTCAGACTTTCCCCTGGGAGTTCAAGGGGAGCAAAACAGCTCAGTAATGTGTTTTACCTAGAATCTTTTCATCTGAAATTTAGAAAACACCAGAGCAAATGTTTGGAGAGATGCTATCCTAAGGACTGTTGCTTGAACACAGACATTTGTGTTCAGAAACGTAAGCACGTTTTCACCCAAAGAGTGAACATGTCAGTGGACAGCAAAGGCATGAACCCAGGCGTCCTGACCCCGGGTCCTGGAAAAACAGTTTGAGAAAGTGTCCAGCCGTACGCCATCCCTGCCCTACTGTGTCTTGTGTTTTCCCTTAATGTCAGGGCAGGGTTACTGCGCATGTTTCAGAGGAAGACTTGTCTGTGTCTGCACTCTAGTTCTGTATGGAAACTTCACGGGGCCGCGTTCTGTTTGGACGTTTTGCTTTTCTGTGGCACATTTTTTACACTGTCCAGGGGAGCGTAATGACTGGGGTAAGTTTCACTGGGTAGAGTGCCGCCTTTGCACCGCTCGCTTAACTCACCGTTGTTTCCCAGACAGCTGTCCTGCCTTCCTGTGCCACTGCGCCTGCTCCTTCCACACCTCGAGTTCACTCTTGTTGCTGCTTGTGGTTCCTCACCAGTCCCGTCCGCCGCTGCTGTCCCACCAGGCACTAACGCCCGTCTCCGGCTGTCGCTCTCTTTCCACAGAGGGAGAACCGGAGACTGCAGGAGGCCAGCATGAGGTTGGAACAAGAGAATGACGACCTGGCCCACGAGCTAGTCACCAGCAAAATCGCCCTGCGGAATGACTTAGATCAGGTACGCTGGTTCTTCACTGGGAAGACCTAAGACCTAAGACCGTGACAGCCCCACGGGCAAGGCCCCAGTTGCTCTCACCACGGTCCCGCCAGGGCTCCCTCTGTACTTGACACTGGGTCAGCTGCTCGGTGGATGAACGGGTGAGCGAAGGTGGGAGGGGACGGCTGGTACTATTTGGACCAGGTGGGACGTGCCAGCCTTTGAGGAGGGTTCGGGTCGCTTCCAGACAGCACGTGTAACGTGTTTTTACACCTCTGCCCTTCTCTGGTGTCTCTCCCCCTGCGCCGGTACTGTTCCTGAACCAAGGGCTGCCGGCGTGACCGCCGGGGAACATCAGTCACGGGCATCCTCATCTAGCATGCATGCGGGGTTTTTGTAGGACACGTGGACATCAGGACGTGTGCGTCCTTGGGATGGCAGGCATCCTAGTGGCTAAGAGCCAACGCTGCCTGCGTGTGAGCCTGGCATTACCATTTCCTGACCGTGTGACCTGGGCGGTGCGTAACCTGCCCATAGGTATGAAAAAGTCTACCTTGTGAGATGATTCGAGAATAGAATGAGGTAAAAGACCTTAGTATGTGTTGAGTAAGTGCTAGAGCTGTTGCTAGGAAGATGTTAAGTTGTTGAACTTTCCTTGTTTTTTCAGCTCGAGGGTTTCTGTTTTCTATGGAATAGTTGAAACAGCTATTTCAAAGACAGTTGGCAGTATGGAAGGAGTCTTGTGTAGACTTAAAATTATCACAGTATTTTCTGACTTTTAAAAAGTGAACATTCCCAACAAATGGTGCAGGGTCAGAAAAATGGAGACTCGGACCATTAAATGTGTGAAAAGAGGCATGCTGTGCTCTAACTACGCACCGGCAATATTTGAAATGCAGATCCATTAACAATGTAAGTCTGGTTGAATTAAGATTGCAGGAGTTTTAAAATGTTTAAAAATGGTCACTGCCACACCTTCTTTTCCCATATAAACATCTGATTTTGTGCGCACAAGTTTTGACCGCGGTGAGACGGGAGCACAGTGCCAGGGTGTGGGGAGAGGTGGAAGCTGCAGGAGTCAGCGCTAAATGGAGTTTGAAAATGAAGCAGAACTGTGCTTGCTGCTCAGGGCGCCGGATTGGAGGGTACGGAAAGGAACCCAGTGGGGTGGGAGGGGGTGGCACTTTTAACCACCAACCCCGTGCAGCCCAGCCCTTTTGTAAGGCGTCAGTGGGAAAAGTGGTCACTGGGGCAGTCAGAATCACAGAAGGAAGAGGGGTTCTGGTCGACCAGGGCCCCACCCGACCGCAGCCGTCCAGTTCTGTGTTCATCAGACTCCAGTGGTGGGGTGGCACCCCAGTGGAACTCCGCTCCCTGTCTGCCTTCCAGATGGCCTGCGCTCACAGCCGGTTCTGCCCTTCAGAACCTCTTATCTGTTACCAGGTTCCTTAGGATGACCAGTGAAAGGGAAAAAGCTCTGAGCAGTTGGACTCGGTGGGGTGCAGTGGAAGGTCCAGTTGTAGATTGAAAATTGTGTGCATTAATGTAACACATTCGTTAAGCCTTTAAAAGGTTTAAAAATAATGAAATTAAATACTGGTTGAGTACCTACTATGCACCAAGCAATATATTTAGCAATTCATGAGCATTATCTTATTTAAGCTTCCTAACAGCTTTGTTATTTTAATCTTCTGTTTTATCAGTGAGGAAACTGGGATTCTCTCTCCCTCCTTCTCTCTCTCTCTCTCTCTCTCTCTCACTTAACTGTCCTAAAAGAAAGAGAGATTTGGTCAAAAAGATATACACAAGGTCATTTTCTGCAGCGTTACTCATAAAAATAAAAAATAGAAATAATATACAAGTTCGATAGAAGAGGAGAACAAAAGTATACTTGTAAAATGCCTTTTTTGGAATAGCTTTTAAAAATGATAAGAAGATGATAGAATTTTTTTAAAAGCAGTACATTAATTTGTGTATCATGTTTTCATCTAAATCACAAGGGCTGTGGCTGGCAGGGGCCATGCTGCAAGGAATAGAGGCTGGAGCGTACCCGGGCAGGGAGGAAGCCGACAAGGAGGCACAGCGCCCCTGGATTTCTCTAGGCGATAAGACTAAACCTAATTTTTATATTCATCTTTATGCCTTTATATTTTCAGTGACTACTCTTTTATAAGAAGACCTTAAATTATTTAACCACCCTTGGTTGAGCAACAGTATGCATTGTAACTTTTTAAAAATCAGAAAAAAGCCCTGCTGGTGTAGCTCAGTGGATTGAGCCCGGACTGCAAACCAATGGGTCACCAGTTCAAAGGGTCGCCAGTTTGATCCCCAGTCAGGGCACATGCCTGGGTTGAGGGATAAGTCCCCAGTAGGGGGCACATGAGAGGCAGCTGATCAGTGTATCTCTCGCACATCCATGTTTCTCTCTTCCGTCTCTTCTCTTAAAAATAAATAAATAAATAAATAAATAAATAAATAAATAAATAAGAACCTTTAAAAAAGGTTTTTCCAAGAAAGTCCATTTTGCGGGTCCGCCTGGAATGACTGCCCCACGGGGGCTCCTGAAACTGGATTGTTGAGATCTCAGGAGCCTCACGTAGACAGTGGCTCAGTCCCTGGGGAAAAGTTACTCCTCCCTTTAGTCCTCACTCTTCTTTCCTCCCTTCACACACCTCTTTCTCTTTCTCACTCTTTTTTTTAATCCTCAGCTGAGGACACGTGTATTGATTTTTAGAGAAAGGAAGAGAGATAAAGAGAAAGAGAAACATCAATGTGGGAGAGAAACATGGATCAGTTACCCCCTTACGCACACAGACCGGGGATCAAACCCACAACCTTCTGGTGCACAGGATGATACTCTCCCAGCGGAGCCACCTGGCCAGGGCATCTTTCTCTCTTTTTATTTTTTTTTTTAAAGATTAGCCCCTGCTTTTGAAGCTTTTTATCTGAATGAAAGAATAAACATTGCTTTTTCATGCATACCTTCTGATGTTGCAGTTTTGCAGGCACCGCAGGCTGTTCACTTCTCGCCGACAGACTTCCCTCTGCAGAACTCACCCTCACTCCCACGCTTAAAAAGGGCTTCTGGGCGATTAGAAACGTGAAAAGATACAAATTCCCTGGGTCAGTTTCTGCCACTCCCTGCACTCTGGCCCTTCCTGTCCTTTCCAGTTCCCCTGGAGTTGGGAACAGCGAGAGGATACACAGCGAGTCCTTTCCCACTGGGGACTGAGCCCAGGTCCCTTCTCACCACAGCAGGTCATGTGTTAGGCCGGAAGCGACACATATTAAGTGGCAGATCCATTTGCTTTATTTTTAGGTCGAGCAGCTGGCTAGTTCTTTGAGGAACCATTCCTGGAAGATCCTCACGCTGCTGCCTTTTGCTCAGGTTATCGTTGATTTGTGGTTACATCACAGATTGCAGCGTCCTGTCTGTCACATTCCCATGGGACCCTAATGTAGTGGAGAAGCAATAGGAATAGAGTGAGCTCGCCTTACCTCGGCCTAGTGAAGAACGTGCAGCAGAAACGTGAAATAAAAATAGCAGGTCCTCTCCTGATGAATATCTAGTCGTTTATTAAAAATTTTCTCCGAGAAGTGGCTTTCTTTTCCTTTCCTTACAGACATTTCCCAAACTGTACATACAGTACCTTTTTGGAGGTCCGCCTCTGATTTTAAGATGTTCTTTTGCCACGTGCACTCTGCCTCCTGCCCCACTAAAATGTAGCGTATCGGTGTCTTGAGAAGGGACTGGGGCAGCGTAAGTACCTGACAGCTCCGAGCGATGCAGAAACAGCTCTGCCCTCTGGGCTGCGGGGCATGAGCAGCACTGGACACTGGGAGCGGAGAGGCTGGATGCAGGTCCCCCCCGCCCCCAGTGCCCGGCAGACTGCTGGCCAGGCCATCTGGACGTGCGGGGGGTACGGAGAAGCAGACAGGAGGCCACCTGGCCTCCGCGTTCGCTGTGACTTGGACAGCATCGTGTGGCTGTCAGCCGGGGCCGGCCTCCTCACATGGCTGCCTTTCTCTGTGACTGGTTTCCTGGGCTGAACCTGTCCTGTGGCTCTCGGCCACCTCCGCTCTGACTTTCAGAGCCACATCCATCCACTTGCCAAATACTGATAGAGGACCTGCTTGGTACCCGTGCTGGGCTGGCTTGTGGGGCCCGGGACCCATGGCAGCCATAGAGCTGCCGCCTCCCAGAGCCCGAAGCCACGTGGGCAGGACAAGGCAGTCGCACACGTGTAATTGGTCAGTGCAGTTGCGACAGGCTTAACCAGGAGGGGATTTAGGTGGGGTGAGTCGGGCAGGGCATGGGCCACGCTGCCCTGCATGTGCACACGGGCAGCTGAGACCTAACAGGTGACAGACACACATGCTGGTGAGTTAAACACATGCGGCGCTTCCTCAGTTTAGTTGGGCTCTGTGTCTGAGTTGAGACCCGAGTACATTTCTGAGCTTTCCGTGGCCATTCTGGTCTTTTCTGTTTGGATTACTCGTCTCTACCTCACTTTTCTCACTACTGCACTCACCCCCGTGTGAGTGCCCGTGTGGGGCTTCAAATGTCCTCGACCGACTGTGGTCCATGGCCCAGCCTCTCCCTGCGCCCGCCCTGCACCCGCCCCCAGGCACAGCTCTTAGGAGCTTCCCCCATGGCTCCACCCCTGCCTCCGCTGTGTCCACAGTATCAGAGTGAGTGCTGTGTGGCGTCCAAAAACGTGCGAGGAGCGTTCAGAACAAGCAGGGGCTCAGGTGCCATTCCAGTCTGCATTTGGACCTGGGCTCCAGTACTCGGCGTGCACCCCAGGCAGGGGGTCTGATCTCTGTGACTTACTGTCGTCGTCTGGGAGGTCACCACTGTGGGAGGATCAGAGGCAGCGCGTGCCCAGAGGCTGGCACTCAGTGAGGGCAGCCATCGCCGGGTCAGCGGGGAGGGAAGCGCACCCGCAGGCGGTAGTGTGGGAGCAGGACGTCCGGGCCAGCCGTCCCCACGTCTCTGTGACCGTGGCGCCCTCTGACTTGCAGGCGGAAGACAAGGCAGACGTATTGAACAAGGAGCTCCTCCTGACCAAACAGAGGCTGGTGGAGACCGAGGAGGAGAAGAGGAAGCAGGAGGAGGAGACGGCTCAGGTAACAGGCGCTGGCGCGCTTTCCTCTGCACGGGCGCATTACACAGGTACGGAGCCTCCTGCCAGAGCGAACAAGGCATCGTTGTATTCTAAGTCGGGTGACGCAGAAGCAGCCCCTGCGAGTAGCATCGAGTCTGGACGCCTCTCTGCAGGCCCTGAAGTGGGAGGCGGCCTTTCTCCCCCTCGAACAGCTGCCAGGAATCCGCCTTGACTGAGCCATCTAGCGTGCGTGTTACATTTCCTCTAAGTTTAGTAACTTGGGATTATGATCCAAGAGCTCTGACAAATCTGCAGACTTCACGTTGTATCGCCAAGATAATTGACTCCTCGGCAGTAACTGGGGCTTGTTGAGCCGGAAGCCCCCAGCACACTCTGCTGGGAATCGGCTCCACTGGCCAGGCTTCACTTTCCTGATCCCGACCTTCGGGAGACGCATCAGCGCTCCTGCGGAGCTGGCACCCCTCGCTCCCTGGGGCACAGAGCGAGCCCTCTGGGGCCCCGCCTTGGCTTTAGCATCCTTCCATCTTCTGTGAGTTGGGAGGCTGTTCAGCTGGAAGGTGCCTCCCCCAGAGGGTGTGGATGGGTGACTAGAGGGGCCTCTCTGTCCATGCCAGTCCTGGTCAGCACACGCATTCTAACAGTTTGGTTCCGAGATGGCAAATTGCTAATAAGATAGAACACAGAGCCCTTCCAAGACCTACATCCGAGCAGGGGAGGTTTTGTGAAGTTCCTATTGAAGGGATGTATCATTTAACACCTTTGGAGGAATTGTACAGAGTGTTCCTTCATGCTTTTTGTTGTTGTTGAAATGGTAAAGTGACTTTTGGCATTTATTGTGGACCAAGATTTTTTTTTTTGACATACCCAAAATTTTTCAGTGGCTGATTATCCAGTCGGATGTAGGCACTTAATCAACAACGGGGCTGTAAAGCAAGTAGTGAGCACAGGCAGTTTTATTATCGGATGGCGCCTGTGTCTTACACGTTACAGGAAGGAAAGATTTCTGTATCTCGAGATGGTCGGGGTTTTCAGGTGATCAAGATGCAGCTTCGGTGAGGAAAATTTGTATAGTTTCAGTGTTTCCCTTGTCACTGGCCGTGATCCAGGCAGACTTGAGTTGGGTCTTTGTGGAAATTACTAAGATTGTGACCGAGTCTTGACGGTTGTCATCCTCACTCTTTCCAGCTAAAAGAGGTCTTCCGGAAGCAGCTGGAGAAGGCAGAGTACGAAATAAAGAAGACCACAGCCATCATCGCTGAGTACAAACAGGTACTGCGCCGCGGTGGTGTTGGCCACCAGAAGAGTGGTTGTTGGTGGTGTTCTCTGGGGAAATGAACTTCGTGTTTAGAGTTGCCAGAGCGGTGGCCGGGCTGCAGTCACTACATGCGGTGGCTGATGCTCTCCTTTGAAACCGACGTGGTCGGACACGCCTGCTGGTTACATGGGAGGTCCAGCCGAGCTAAACAGTCTGTTGTCTGTTTGTCGTGTTTACTAGATGTGGAGGAACAGAAATGCCACTATTACCGCAGGGACCCTGTCTCTGCCCTACTCAGAAGCCACTTCCTGTAGGGGGCAGACACAGGGCCCGCGGGCAGAACCCGGCCCTCCACCTTGTCTTGTCTGGCCCGGCACCAGCGCCCAGCTCCCACTTAACTGTTAAGGAGTAGTTACATTTGTACAGTCCTAACATTACATCCAGCCCTTTGAAGGCAACCGTGAGTTTGGTGTGGCCCCCAGTGAAAATGAGTCTGACACCTCAAACTCATTGCTGTAGAGCATACTAGTAACATTTGCCTCTTCGCCAAGGACTAAAGTTTAGTGATTGTGTGAATAGCAGTAGCCGGGGAATCAGTGTGTGCTTTGCTGTCGCGGTATAGCATGTGGGCACCCGTCCTCCCCCGTGGCCATGTGGCCTTGGAGGGAGATGACACCTGTGCATGCAGAAGAGGAAAGGGAACTTGCTGCTGGGAGTTAAAGGAAATGGGGAAACTCCTCCTGGACGAGGGGTGATTGGAGCTGTGCTTCCAGGGCCAGGTGTGTGGGGACGGGAAGGAGAGGGCAGGCACAGGGAAAGGGGACCAGCACACACACACACACACACACACACACACACACACACACACACACACACACGGGGTGGAGTAGTGGAGGAGAGAGTTGGTTTGGCAAGCGCTCCGAGCTAGAAGAGGAGCGCGGGTGAGTTGGGGCACAAGTCAGGGAGGGTGGTCGGGGATTGCCGTGGAGTTTGCATTCGGTTCTGTTGGTAGTCGGAACGTTTGAGCAGGAAAGTGGCATAATCAGGGACCTGTGGTTGGCACTGCTGTGTCCCAGTGGGAAATGTGGGACCGAGAGGGGACCCACCGGCACAGACACAGACCAGGGAGAGGCAGAGCGCAGAGTCTGGGTACACTAAAGGGGCCCTGGACATAATCGGTGGTGACAAAATGGAGACGAGGGCGACACAGAAGATGGCGACTTTTTCTGCTAGAGCAAGGGAGAACATTGAACCGACCCTGAGATTTCGAATTCGGGTGAGGAGGAGAGGGGATGCACGAGGAACATTCAAGGCCATGTGCGGTGGGACTTGCCGTCACTGCAGATGCGTTTTTCTGTCACCGCGTCAGGCCCTGGGTGGCCGCCATATGCCGTGCTCTGCAAATAGCAGCCTCAGGGACTGCTCTTGACTATTATCTGGCAAGCGCTTCAAGTGATGCAAAAGGCAGCAGTCCCATCTGTCGGAAGATAATTAGGACCCCAGACATGATCTAAGTGCATCTTATAGTTGGAATTGGCTGCTATTGGCTATATCTCAGAACGTTTTGGTCTATTTAAAAGGGTATATGGTTTGCCAAAATTACTAGGGAGCTAGGTTTTTAAAAAAATATTGGCTAATGCACACCTGTTTGTCGCTTTCAGGCTTAGACCTGGAGAAATTAGAGAGTGTGCTGCACAGGCGGGCCCTGGATCCTAGAACTGATCCCGAGTAAACTGGGGTTGCTCTGTAGGGTCTGTTCACATAAGAGAGGCAGTAGACCTTTTATGTTTTAGTCCAGATGTGACAATTTCACACCCCCTAAACTTTTTTATTTCTCACAAAAAAAGATTGAGATCTTACTCAAGTCCAATAAGAATTGAATTTCCAGGGTTTTTTTTTGCTTCTAAAGCACTTACTTCTACCTGTTCTAGTACTTATTAGTACTTATTTCAGAACTACTAATAATGAGGTTTTATTTGATGAGTGATTACAGCCAGGGGCTGTACTAAACCCTTTGCGTACATTTTTTCTATTAATTTTCACAGCACAACACTATCTGGTCAGGAGGAAACAAACCTAAGCGTAGACTCATCAGTGAATTTGCCCAAGAATGTGGAGCTAGAAAGTATGAGAACTGGACTCCTGGGCTTTTCATTTGTGCCAGGTTGCCAAACCACTTGATGAGTTTTAGTCTTTGTGATTTTTCTGGTCATTTGACCTTTTTTTTTTTTAAGTTTCATTCCTTCTACCACTTGTTGAGGACGTTTCTGTACTTGACAACAGAGGTCCTTTTCTGTGGCTGCAGTCAGGAGACATGCTTGGTTCAGAACCTTCCCACCAGAGTCCCAGCCCAGACAATGTCTCGCATGAGGCAGGTACTCAGCGAAGGTCCTGCAGAGAGATCGCAGAGGCAGGGGCAGGGGCAGGGATTCCCTGGAACCAGTCACAAAGGCTGGCGATGGAAGGGAATCAACCCTTCCTTCCACCAGTCACGACAGGTGCTTTACACGGGGCGCACCCAGGCTCTCTGCTGCTCACTGCAGAAGAGACTGCCCTTCGCAGTGCCATCCATTTGCACGATTTCTCCAGCATCACAGGTGTGACAGTATAAGAGTTGATAAAGTGATGTGCACACGTGTGAAAGTTGTTCTGTTGTCCAGGAAGGAAACTTTTATTTTTCTTTCCTTTAGATCTGTTCCCAGTTAAGCACCAGACTGGAGAAGCAGCAAGCAGCCAGCAAGGAGGAGCTGGAAGTGGTAAAGGTGAGGAGTGGCGCAGCACCGTGATGGAGTGTCTTCCCCATGCCCAGGCTTCGGTGGGCGCCTGCCTGCCAGGAAGGTCCCCACCCAGCCCTTTGTTCTGGAGGACATAGGAATTGTTGCAGAACCTCTCGCCTGACCCGGTGTGGTCCTCTTCCCTGCAGCTGAAAGGCTGTGTCCCCCTAAGTCTTGTGGCCTGTCAGAGGTAGGTAGTGGCTTTCAGCACTGTCACAGGAGGCCCCAAGCTTTCGTGTACCGAGGGCCCTTCGGACCCCCAGCAGCCTGCATCCCAGCTGTGCCTGAATTGATGTGACGCTTCAGTGTGCAGCCCGTAGTCTCATCTGTCACTCCCTTGAACAGGAAGCAGCGTGGGTGGTCTAGGACTTGGCTGGAGAACATATATTGGGTAGCTGATTCTAATTTTTGAGAGATTTATTTAAAAAAACAAAACAAAACCTTGTTGCATTTATTTATATACCGCCCCCTGGTGGTAAAACTCCTATTGATTATTTGAAAAAGCAACTGCTTATTCTGTAGAAATAGAAGTAAACCAAATGGATCGGTATTCTTAAGAAGTAACATTGGCACTACCAACTTTCAGACCAGTGTCCAAGAAACCTGACGTAATTCTATTTGAATATATTCTGGTCTCATACTAGGAATTTCTGTGCGTTCTAGGGACTCCAGCATGTCCTTTAACACCGTGGCAAGTTACTTACCCTCTCTAAACTTTACTTAGTATTCTGCATAGCAGATAACAGTGCCTGAGTAATTCGGTCATTCTGAAGATTAAATAAGAATGTATGTAAAAATGCGTATTTTAATAAGTTATGGACTGAATATCTGAGACATGGGAAATGAAAATATGAACCTTGTTCTGACTTTGTATTCCAGAAGTGGTTTTTAATTTCATGTTATAAAACACCACCAGTCTGAGATTGTTAGTGAGCAGAGAGTTGATTGTCTTCCTCCCCAAACCTGCCAGATTTGGGGTTCACATCTTCCCTTTTTGTCCTTCCTTTGTCCCCTCTTTTTACTTAGCCTTTATCATCCTTTGTACCTTTGTAGACATAATGACCAATATCGCTGATGAAGTGTCTTGGCCTAAAAGGACTAACTATCCTGAACTAAAATCTCTGTGGAAATGAAAATGAAACAAGGATTTACAGCAACCACTCGGGGAGGGTTTTATTGAGAGCCGACTGTGTGCACAGGTGTTAGACTTCAGTCTTTTACAGAAGTTACGCGTGACAGAGGGCTCAGAACTTCCCTGCAGGAACAGACTGTGTGACGGACGGTGCGCGGGGAGCTTTGGGCAGACACTCGGAAAGCGTGTGAGTGCTGAGTGGACGACACTGGCAGTGGCAGAGAAGTGATATCAGGAACTGCAGATCAGGGATGACTTAGGACCTGGCTGGACTGAAGCAAGATGGGTAGAGTTCAGTTAGAAGGATTTAAAAGGGACATTCCGGAAAAAACAGTGTGCGTGAGGGCCCAGAAACGGGAACGGGCGTTTCGTATTTCACCAAGGCAACGGATGTGATCAGAGTGTGTGTCAAGGAAACGTGGGGTGGCAGGTGGGTAACGAGGCCATGACGTGCAGAAGGAGCCATTCGGACTTGTCTCAGCCAGTCCAGCTCAGCAGCTGACGGTTACCGTGTGCACGCGGACAGGGCCTTGCGTGTGTTATCCCATTCGACTCTCACCTGGGGAGGCAGACACTGTAATACCACCTTCTTACCAACCTATCTCCTTTTTATTGATGATGATTTCCAAAACAGGTAGTTTATTTCCTCAAGGTCACAGAGCTGATAAGCAGTAGAGACAGGATTTGAACCCATGGAGTCAGACCCTGCGGCCCACACCCCCAGCTGTCACATCACACTACCTCCTCTTCCTCCCGTCCTACTTCCTCATCTCATTTGGCATGAATGTGATGATAGCCGTGACCTCTGCACCCTCCTGTAACAGCCTTCCCCTGTCACCGTCCCCTCCCAGTCCCTCCCCTGCACTAATCAGACTGAGCGTGCTCAAGCACAGATCGAACTGTATCGCTCAGTCTAACTGCTTAGGGTTAGATGGGCCACAGGTGGAAACCCAAAACAGCACTGACTTAGACACAAAAGGCATTGATTATCTCACGCAAAGAAGTCTGGGACTAGAGGGATCCTTGGTTTTATCAGTGATCCAGCTTCAGTGACCCACACCCTCAGCGTGGGCTTCCATCCTTGAGCCCGCCCAGAAATCAGACCTGTCACCTGGAGTTTCTGCCATCACCCCCACGTGCCAGGCAGAACTAACTTCAGGCCAAAGAAATGCAAGGATACAAGGCCCTCCTCCTCCAACGGGGTGAGCTGTCCCTAAGTCACCTTCGTATGAGTGCCATACATATCAGAACTCACTTCCATGGCTCCGTCCAGCTTCAGGGGAGCCAGAAAATGGCTCCTTTTAACTGGGCATTTTCCAGCCCATATGACATCAAGGTTCTGTTAGTCAGGAAGGAGATGGAGGTGGGTGGGATCTGGGGTCTCTCCCCTCCCCGCCATCAGCGTGTCTGCTCTCCAGTGTGGAGCACGGGATTCGGTGATGTGAGTGCCTGAGTTTTCTACAGGATGCAGTCGGGATGCACAGGCGTCCCGATCAGGGACCGATCAGGGACCTTTACGGCGTGGCCCTGGAGACCTAGCTCTTCGCACCGCCGGCCTCTCGCGAGCGCGGCACTTCCTCCTGCTTACGCATCCTGCTCCCCGTGCTTCCCCGAAGGCACAGTGTGCATGCACAGGGTGTTCTCTCTGCCGCAGTGCCCTCCTCCCTCCTGTGAGGTCCATCTCTTCCTCTGTCAAGTCCAGCCTAATGAAACTGCTTGCCCAGCTCGGTAGACTTAAGCCACTTAAGACCCAGATGAGAAGCCACCGTGTTAATGTCTCATTGAGTCAGTGACAAATACGTGACAGATACTCGGTGTGCCCTCTGCACCAGCCCTGAGCTCTTCAGGGAGCTCTGGGTGTCCAGTGAGCAGGAACCAGGCGGGGGTCTGAAGAGCGCGGTCTGGGAGGGGTAGGAAAAATCAGTGGGGGCCGAGGAGGGGATTTCGGGGGATTCAGGCCTGGGCCAGGGAGTGTGGTCAGGTCGGAGGAAGAATTTAGTGACCAGCTGTCGAGGAATGAAGAGACGACACCCAGGTGCTCAGGCCTCAGTGGTGGCCGCGGGAACCGTGGCACAGAGTGGCTGTGTGCGTGGGGAGGGGAGAGCTGGGGCGTGGGCGTGGAGCGTGCTGCAGCAGGAGGGCGCCAGAGCAGGAAGGTCACGGGTGTCTCTCCTCTCCAGGCGATTCTGCAGGTGTTTTAACAAGGCAGTAGCGCTCTGGCCTCGAGAAGAGCTGCTGCTGTCGTGCTTTGCTTGGCGGTACAGGTCAGAGTCACTTTTACGACCTTGAACAGCAGTGACCATCTCTGCTGGAAGCTGAGCCAAAGGACATGCACTTTATTTGCCGCAGGGGTAGATTCTGGTTCATCATAATGACCTCAGCCTCCTCTAGGCAAGTTACTGAAACTCTGGGTTCCCTCATTTACGAACTGGGGGCGAGCTAGCCCCTGGTCACACAGTGACGAGCCCTGGGAGTGAATGCGACAGCGTGTGCAGAGCATGATGGAGGGGCGTGGCGTCAACAGGGGAGCGCAGAGCTTCCAGAGCAGACGTCAAGGCGGCGCTCTGCCGCTCTCTGTGCCCGGGGTCTCGCTACAGACACTTGAGGGAAAGGGCAGTTGGGTCCTATGGAGACTCGATCCGTTCTGGTTGGAGCACAAGAGAGAGAACCACCTTCAGATACCAGCCGGCGTTTGGTGGCAGAAAACAGCACCTGAATAACAATCTAATCACACGCTGTTTCAGAGGCGACTTACGCTGTGGAACACACAGCTGGACGTTGTTCTCTCCCCATGTTTCAGGGCAAAATGATGGCGTGTAAGCACTGCAGTGACATCTTCAGCAAGGAGGGCGCCGTGAAGCCAGCAGCCGGCCCCCGAGCGGACCGTGGGGCCGAGTTGGACGACGAGAAGGACTCACTGAAGAAGCAGCTGAGGGAGATGGAGCTGGAGTTGGCACAGACCAAACTGCAGCTGGTGGAGGCCAAGTGCAAAATCCAGGTTGGTGACTTGGTGAAAGGTCAACGAGAAAAACAAAGTTCATGGTCGGAGCTATTCTAGGATTTCAGCATAGACATATCTCAGTCAGAATCATAGTTGTTACGATAAATTCATGTTTCTGCCCCAGAATGCACAGTCAGATGTCATATCATTATTCTTTTTTTTTTTAAAATATTTTATTATTTATTTATCTTTAGAGGGGAAGGGGGGGGAAGGAGAGAGGGAGAGAAACATCAATGTATGGTTGCCTTTTGTGCGTCCCCTGCTGGGAACTGGCCTGCAGGGAACCGGCCTGCAACCCAGGCATGTGCCCTGACTGGGAATCGAACCGCGATCCTGTGGTTCGCAGGCCCGCGCTCAATCCACTGAGCTACACCAGCCAGGGCCATATCATTATTCTTAAACACTGATATAAATACACGGATTTAAATGAACTTTAATAATTAAAATTATATCTTGTGTGAACTTAGGTGTATGCTTCTTTTAGTTTACCCTGTGATTTTTTTGGCCAAGGTCATTCCTCATTGAACTTGGTCACTTTGGTAGCTGACCCTGAAAATGAAAGGTCAGACCTCCTCTGTTATTCTTCCTTCGATGGTTGAACATCATCTGACACCTTTTTTTTAAGCTCTTTTTCATCTTTACCTGATTTTGTTGAATCTCTTTCCCTATAATCCCTTTCCATATTGGGAGGGCAACATAATTAGAAAAATAGTCCCGGCTTCCGGTGGGCCGCGATCCGTCCCCGCCGCCACATCCCGCCTCGGCTGCAAGGCCACTGCACCTGCTGTCCTTGGTGGCCTCTGCACTGGACCTCGCACATTCTCAGGGCAAAGGCTGCGTGTTTGGAACTAGAGCCCACTCGTACTTACTCCATCAGTAAAGACGCAGTCCATCCATACTTTTCTGTTTGTGGTTCCAGACATGTTGTCTCGGCGGTAACCTAACCCCAAATGGCAGGGGGAGCGAAAGGATGACACAGGATTTCATTTCACTGTTCGGAAAAAGCACACGTTCTGGTTATTGCTGGTAACTCTTCTAGCTGTAAACTTTTTTGTTGTCCATTAAGAAGCCACTTAAATTTCTCCTGGGCTTTGTGGGAGGAAAACTATGGATATATAGACCTGGAGATTCTAAAGAGCTGTACTGGGATATTGTTTTGTCAGAGAGAAAACATTTATAAAAACTCAGATGATTTTCTTTCTTTAATTAGGAACTTGAACATCAAAGAGGGGCACTTATGAATGAAATCCAAGCTGCGAAAAACTCTTGGTTTAGCAAAACCCTGAACTCTATCAAAACGGCCACGAGCACCCAGCCCCTGCAGCCGCCACAGGCCACCCAGCCACCCAAGGAGAGCACATAGTCCCAGCCCCAGCCCAGCACAAGAGCACAATGATCAAAGTGACCGAGACCCCGGAGGACTCTCCCAGGTGTCCCTTTTGAAGAAGGAAAGTAAAGGAGGCCAGAAAGCAAGCCCAGTCTTTCCGTGGTTCTCCCTCTTTCTTGTATGACGCTTTCAAAGGGATGTTATTTAAACTGACCTGGTTGTGTGGAACACCTGTTTCAGAGCTTCTTGGAAGGCCATGTTCAGATCTGTCCTAGTATTGCGCATTATTTTACATGCCTGAAATTTAGTTGGAAATAAGTAATTCAGAACTAAATGCTTTTTACTGAGCACTAACTCCATAATTGTTTTTATCTTACATAAAAATGAAGATGTCTTTTATTCCAAGGTTGAAGTGATAGAAAGATATTTGTCACAGGTGAAAAAAAAAGTTGAAATCCAAAACTCCTACCTTTTCAGGATTCATTCCGATAAAGCACATTGTGGAGCCGGTTGGGGCCACGCCAGGTGGTTTCCCCCTGACAGGGGCTCCTGGCTGGTGGGGTCCTGTCCGAGGGGGAGCAGACCTGGGATTGAACCGTCCCAAAGACAGTTCAAGTGTTTTGTTTTCTGTTGGGTGCATCTGGAAACAAAGTGCCAAGAACCACGGGAGAGGGTTGGCTGTTGAGGAAGGGAACTGAGATTCTGGTAAGCGAGGGAAGAACTAAATCGCTCTGGCACTGGTATTCTCACAGGTCCTTTTGAGGGCCCCACACGGGAATTGCAAGAACCTTAGTAGGAACTCAGTTGTGGGTCTGGCAGACATGAAGCCAGGAGTGGGTGTCACGAGCTACAGCCGTGGGAAGCCTTCACCAGAGGCGCCTACACAGATCCCGGTGACTGTGGTGTCCACAATGGACTCCAGAACTGGGGACAGAGTGTGTCGTTTAGTGTCGACACACACTCTGGAAACACGAATGCACTGTAACTTGGTTGAAGTTTCGAAATGGATATTCAAGGCCAGCTTCCCATTGTCTTAACGTTAGGCAACTTTTTCTGATTTCTGTGGCTCCCCCAAAATAGGCCCTCGGTACCCCTAGATGAAGAGACGCAAATGCATTTGTGACATTTTTGGTGGAATATGAAACCTTTATAGAAATACTTATCTCATGGAAAGGTGAAGAAAGCTATTTAAAAGGTGATGGAAATATTTTTCCAATTATATTCGCATATCTATATCAATAGCCCATGCTGGAAATTCTCTGGTAAGGGCAAAACGCAGTTCCCCATTTTCCAAGCTATTGCAGAGGCCTTTGGTCTTTCCCACCAGCCCAACTACCGTCAGTACCTATGGCAGCATTTACTCACTCACCCTTGGCTTCCTGGGTGAACGTATTCTTTTCTTTTCTTATCATTGTTGTTCAGTTTTTGTCCCCATTTCCCCCCTCTACACTACCCTGCCCTGCCCCCACACACACACATCTCGATGAACATATTCTTTGTAAAGGATCTTCAACCCCATAGAGCCAGAGCAAGTCCCATCGGTGCCATATGATGTGGTTGAAACTAACACAGTCCGGAGATAAAACCCTAGTAAGAGCGACTGGGACCCCAGGAGCACATGCTACAGGTTGCTTCCCTGTACAGTGTTCGTCAGCCTCTGAGGAGAGAAGTCACTGTGTTGGCGTCCATGTCCTCTACAATCCATAAAACATAGGGTTGTCTGTCACCCTTGGTCACACTCATCACATAATGTGCTTTCTCACCGGATTTGTTTTGGTTCTGACATCTTTCATTGTTATAGTCATTTTCTTTACCAAAAATTAAAATAAGCCAGCATTCAAGTGTTTGTGTTGATTTTAACATTCCCTCCATGGCAGTTTAGAAACGCTAAATTCCTTTTGTAAAGTATAGTGGCTAGAGAATTGCATCTTGGTACTTGTTTCTATAAATCACTTAGTATAATTTGTTAGCTTTACCGATACTTATGCTTTGATTCCAAGAAGACTTGTACAAGTTGCCTTATCAAATGGCCAGCTAAGTTAAAGATTTTTGTGTTTCCTGAATCTTGCAGTTCTGCCATATAAAGTTCTTTTGAACTTCCAGAAACTGGCACATAACACAGAAAGCCTGAATTCTTTTCCTTAAGTAGCAGAGGGAGGAGTGGAATGGCTCTTGCTCGGTCGAGTCGTTACTGTAAACCTGACTCAGTTTCATAGCCTCTTACATTTTTTTTATACAAAATCACTAGGTGTATACATTCCAAATGTTTAATAAATCAGTCTTTTGCCTTTCCTTTTGACTTTTTCAAAGGGTTATAGGGTCATCTCTAGATTTTTTTTTCTCATCCAGTTCCATATCATACTTGAGTATGTTTTGACACCATCAGTCTAAGCTGTTCTTCAGTGCAATGCCTTTGGGTCAGAAAATTCAAAACGTGGTGTCGGTAAGATTTTTCACAGGCTGTGTTACAGCAGCACTTCCTGACCAAACGTCCTTCACGGGGTATTGTTGACACTCCCGCATCCCAGCATTGACTGCTACTTCCAGTTTCACTCATTTTGAAATATATTTGAGCATTGCTATTCTAATCTTGATTCCTTTAGAAAGAGATGAGCCAGCCCAGATATCCAGGAGGTTTTCAGATACGTATTCTAGAATGTTTTTCATCTTTTCCTAGAACGCAGTGAGTGCAACACTCCAGAAATCCAACGTTTGCAGTTCTGAAAAGAGATTATTTCTCTTTTTATTTATTTCTGCAAAATAAATTAAGGGAATGAACTTCAATTTGATCATTTGATCTATGAGCTTTTGTATCTTGAAAATCTTATGTAACACATTCTTTGAAGTTGACTTTTCAAAGAAAGCAAGCTTGAATTTTGCAGTGCGTATGTTTGCTAGCTTCCCACATCCTGAGCCGTGGAAAGGTTTGGTTATATTTGGTTACATATAATTCAATGCAGAGAAACAAACTCGGTCGCCTGATGCTCCTATGCGGGCGCCCATCAGAACACGAGCAGGTTGTCTGCAGGCCCGCGGCCGGTTCCCATAGCAGCCAGTCTCTGTCTTCCTCTCTCCTGATACGAGGTGGGCAGTTTCTTCCTCATGGGCTTTCCCAAACTTCCAAAATAAAGCTGGAAAGCAATCTTTGCACTGATGTTGGGATATTTAGTTGTATTTATCTTGTTTCATTTTTTCAGAATTTTCATTCTTTTATATATACTATGTGTTATTTATTTTTCTCACACCACTACTCCATTTTCTTAAAATACTTTCCAGTTAATAACCAGTGGCTTCATTTCCTAGCTAAAGTGAGGAACACAAGAGAATGCACAGTGTAGGGCCCAAGAGATGAGAAATCCTTAAAAGGGTCGACTAGTTACTGCAGATGAGAATCAATGTGTATCTGATGGAAGGGGCTGAGTTTGCTTTTCTTTGGCTGAAATCAGTGTAGTAACTTCTGCCAAGATGGTTGTCTGCTTTCAGGACTCCCAAAAGGAGCTCTTAAAAAAATTAAATTCCTTGTTTGTTTTACCTCTCTTGGAGAGAGCACTTTTAATTACTTAGCAAGCTGATTCTGTTGTATAACTTTTAAAAACGGCTCTTAGAAAACCTCTGATTCTCGTGCTTCAGTTACAGATAAACGAGAGAATGGACAAACTGTTGTTTGATCTGCACGCTGTTGGGTCTGTGTGTGTATGGACTTGTCCAGAGTATCCCTGCCTCTCTTGTGTACCCAGGTGCCAGCGCACCTGAGTGAGCACGCGTGTGGCGGTCAGGGAGAGAGGGGCAGGTCTCAGTTCGGGGGCCTGTTCCCTACCAGGGTTACGCGGGGTGACACACCCTTGCCCCCTAGTTGCCCTGCTCATGGTCGCACTGAACAAACCCTGCTCTACCACATCCTTCCTCTGCTGTAGTGGCTTCCATACAATAAAGGCAGCTTTTTACTGGAGGAATTTCCTGATTTTTCAAAAGCTACCAAAATGAATACTTTGGTGCGGGCTGCACCTCAGTAAGAGATGATCTCACATTGTATTGAGGAAGGCGGATGTTTACGAGTCGCATTTTGACGGCAATCTCAGCAGTCAGGTGTTCCCTTCTCAGCTTCCGTGTATGAGACCACGTGTCCAGCTAGTCTGCAAGTGGGTCTGCTACCTGCTATAAAAACATCTTCATCAACACGTCCCATTCTCCCCATATTCATCATCAGTGATATTCTCAAATATTTAATAAAAAAAATCATTGACTAGAAAGTGAGCATTTTCAGTTACTTTTTCACTGCAGTAAGTTAACATTTGAAATCGTTTCCATGGAAATGTAACATAACTATATATTACTTATGGAATAAAATATAGGAAACTGGATTAGAAGGATATAAAATGCATCAAGTCTCTGGGGTCACAAAAGCACAAGAATGAAGCTGGAGATGGTCCCAGGACCCAGATGCCCCAATAGCCTTTTACATCGGTTTCTCTATTTTTGGTATTTTGCATAATATATGGATTCTTAATTCAAACGAGGGGGGGAAGCTTTCTCAGTCCCACTTTTCTTTCCGCTCCTACCTTTCCCTTGCTGAGGACATGGTAGACATTCTTACCATTTATTTCCATGAATTGTTTAATTTTTGTACACGGTTTCCCTAATGGAAACAGGTTCTGGGATAAAGGAGTTGATTAGCACAAACGGTGCTAATTGACTACAAAAGAGACATTAGTAAGCAGCCTCGCTCCCTTTAAACACTGACCGATTAGATGTTTCCGTAATTCCACGTATTATGCATAGTACACTATAAATGTAAATGTAACGCTTGTTAAGAAAAGTGCAATTTATTGTACATTGTCCCAACAAATGTTTACTTTTATAATCGTTATGAACTTGAATTGGATTAGTATCTTGTTTTCATGTGTGAATGAAGCCTTGTGAAATAAACACTTGCAACCAAGGAGGTGACGAGGTGACTGTTTTTGTGAGCCAGTGATGTTTTCAATGCTTTGTGTTGCCCCTTTTTCGCCCCTTGAAGCAGTAATAAACATTTGTTCTCAAGTCCGAACCCGTCTTCTCGATTTTTTTCTAGTTGATTTTATTCGGAATCATTTGAACCCAGTGTTTCCATAACACTTCTTATTTGACACTAGACTCTAGTCAGCTTAGGAAGAAAACCGGTGCGGGAGCATGTTGTGGGCTCTCGCTACCGAGCCATCTCCTCCACAGCTGCGCTGCCAAACACCCAATTTTCCTCTCTAGAGAGTCCTTGGTTGCAAGTAACGGAGACTCTTAAACTAGCTTAGTAACAAGACAATTAACTAAAAGGAACTAGGGATTTTTTTTTTTTAAGATTTTACTTATTTATCTTTAGAGGGGAAGAGGAGAGAGGGAGAGAAATATCAATGTATGGTTGTCTCTCGTGTGTCCCCTGCTGGGAACTAGCCTGCAGCCCAGGCCAGTGTGCCCTGACTGGGAATCGAACCGATATACTCTGGTTTGCAGGCCTGCACTCAATACACTGAGCTACACCAGCCAGAGCCTGAACTAGGGATGTTTTTATTAAAGACACCAGATGCCAAAGAGGGCCTGAACAGGCACTGGGACAAACGACTGAAATGCCATCTATGCTTATTTGTTGTTGCTTCTCTCTGAAAAACAAGCTTCCCCTGCTTCTAAGTGACTCACTTTCAAATCTACATTTCCTCTGTTCAAGGGACAGCAGAGGTGGATTAGCATCTCAGGGCAACAGGTTACTCCAAAGGTTATATAGTTTGATACTGTAGGACATTAATCAGTTTGTACCTGACTCTGCAACCTTACACTAACACTGTTAAATTGCCTATTAAGTCCCCAGTTACGCAAATGCACTGATAGTTTTAACATATCATTGGTTCCCTCATAATAAATTGAATATTTGTCACATATTCATACCATATTTGCATAAGTCTTGATTTCAGCTTTTTTAAATACTTTCACAAAACTAGTTTTAGTTTTTTGAGGGTATACTTATTGTCATAAAGACAGACACACCGATGTATTGCCTCCCACGTGAGCTAGAGCAGGAACACAACTGCAACCTACATAGGATCAAACCGCGACCTTTCCGTTAATGGTAGCGCCGTCACGTGGCCAAGGCAACCAACCCCACGCTGCCCGTGATGACGCCACCACGTCGCCGATGCAAATTAAGCTGTTCTTGTCAGGGTCCTCCATACTTTACGTCTTCGCTCTTTCCCGTTTCAAAAACATAAATAATCTGCCCCTTCTCTTTTTGTCCTTCTCTGGCACAGAGTCACAAACTAGCCTTAGGCAACATGGCTGCTTAGCGGGCCCGTCTCCTAAACGGGACGGAAGTAGCCGACTCCGTAGTCAACTTCCGATTTGGATGTGGGGGGGGGGGGGAAACCTATACGTTGCTTCCGGGGTCGGGGGATAGTCCTCAAAGGCTGCGGTTCCGAGTTGCGACTGCGCAGCCAAAGCAGAGGAGGTCAAAGTGTAAACCAACAGTTGTCGGTGCGGAGAGGAAGTGGCGTCATTCCTCTCGCGAGAGTTGAGCGTTGCTAGAAGGCTCGGCGAGTGGGGTGGGACTTGGGAGGCAAGTAGCGCTCGGGGACTGGGCTGTGACGCTAAAACTCGCGAACGTTCTAGAGGCGCCGCGGGCGATAGGCGGGCCCCAGTGTCACCGAAGGCAGGCGGTGCGCACAGGTTGCGGGCGCTGCGAGTCGTGGGGTCCTGCTCAGCGAGCGGTGCGACGTTTCCTGTTTATATCCCCCGCGGGGCTGTATCTCGTTCCTTGCCTGGCCCAACCCGACCATGGCTTCAGCTGTGGAGGAGGTAAGGGTCCCAGCTCATCTTCCTTCGTGGGCCTTGCCGGAACTCCTCGCCCCGATTCGCGTGCTGACCGCCCCGCGGCCCCCTCCCTCCGTTGTCGCTCCCCGTGCGCGCCGGGCCTCGCACACGGCCCCCTGCGTGCGCCGGCTTCCGCGGGAAAGTTGCTGATCGCCGCCGCCGCCGCTCAGCCCCGCCGGGGGTCCCTCCCGGGGTTTGTCGGGATGAGGTGGAGCGGACTGCGGACCGAACGAGCTGGTCACCTTCCCGCGCCCGTGGTACAGGCCTGGGGACGGGAGGCTTCGTTCGCCTGGGACTGATGGCAAACCCCGAGTGTCATTGCAGGGTGGAGGGTCGCGGGCAGCTGAGAAGCCTTGGGTCCCACCACTTCGTTCTCTCGGGCGTGTTTTCTCTGCACACGCGAGTAGCCGCGGGGTTCGGGACACGTCGTTGTGCTTCTCTGAGCCACAGGAACACCGAGCCGTTGGGTTAAGGGCGCCAAGTATCAGTTCTTTGTAAAACAGTGCTTGGCGGACCGCAGTCTGCTCTGTGGGTTAAAAAAAGTTGGAAGGTTCGTTTATCTAGCGGTGGGAATGGCCTTTTTCTCTTATAAGAGCTCTAATCTCTGAAGGCGGGTGGCTTGAGTTTGGGGAACTTGGGCAGTTACACACTGGGCGTGACGGTGCCTGGGTCGCTCTTTCCTTGGTCTAAGCAGAATTTCAGCATCCCTGGAAGTCTGTTCTCCAGTGTGACCAAGGCTGGGGACTCCCAGGTGGAACTTTCTAGGTCTCATAGTTTGCTTTAAGTGAAGCAGAGGTGCGTGTGTGTGATAAAGTCTCGGTCTGGGTGACTTGCCACCCGTTTCTGTGAAGGCTTAAAGACAGGCCCAGGGTGCCGTGGGCCGAGGAAATCGTCCCTGCGGTGACTTTTCAGCCCTCCATCCTCTTCACTAAGGACTAGTCAGTGCAGGCGTTTAAATCAACATTTCGGGACGCTGCTGGGTATTCGTTTTGTTTGAGATAAAATTCACTGTTTCTAACCCGCAGAATGCGTATACAAGTCAGTGTGTTTTAGTATGTTCAGTGTTGTTCGGTGATCACCAATTCTGGAACATTTTCATCATTCCCCAGAGAAACCCACAGGGGTCCATTGAACAGCCTCTTCCCGCACTGTCTGTGCACGTTTGTCTGTGCGAACGGAAGCCCACGCTGGGTGGCCTCTGCTTTTTGTCTCCTTTTCACTTAGCGCGATGTTTCCAAGTTCATCCTTGGTATGGCGGGTGTTCCTTTTTGTGGCTGAATGGTATTCCACCGCATGGACGCACCACACTTCGTTCTCTGTCATGCATTGGTGGACATTTGGATTTTTCCCCCTTCTTGGCTGTCACGGACAGTGCTGCCATAAACACTTACGTGCAGCTTTTTGCATGGGCCAGGTTCGCAGTGTCCTGGGGTTCTCAGTAGCCGTAGAAGGGCGGAGTCTCCTGGCACTGACCTGGAGGGATGCCCGACTCCTGCCACAGTGGCGGCTGGTCTCCCATTTCCACAAGTGTGTCTGTGGCCCCTTGTTCTGTCCGGATGTTTTTGTTGTTGATGTCAGTGGGTGTGAAGTGGCGTCTTACTGAAGCCTGGATGGTTCCTCAGTGCCTGGTGAGTGAAGCCGGCGTCCTCTCCTGTGCCTGTGGCCATTCGTGTCTGTCTGGAGCGATGTTTTGGGGTGCTTTGATTTTGAAGCTTCCTCCTGTGGGACTTGGAAGTGCAGTAGAAGACACGTTTGAGTGTGTGTGAGGATGGGGTAAGAGAGTATGTGATTTTGCACGAGGAAGACAAGTGAAGGCCAAGATGAATTAGGTGAGAAACTGCTATCGAAGGCACAGAAGGGGTCGCTCCTACTGGTTTCAGGTCCACACCGAGCGGAAGCACCAGGGACCACCCAACACGGGCCTGTGTGAGCTGCTTCGGACCCCTGGTGCCTGCACCTGCGGTGGAGGTACTGACTGGATGGGGCACTGGCTGCAGGGGGCCCCCGGAATCTCTTCATTCTCGAGTTTTTTCCAGAGTCCGCTAGGAAAAGGATTCCCAGTCTAGTCAAACTCAGTCTTTACTCTAGGGACAGATACGCTAACTTTACATTTCAGTGTCTGTCACATTGGTGTTGGAATCAGTGTGAAAATTTTAAACCATCTTAATAAAAAAGACTGCTTTGAACTGAAGCATCTTGGTGCTGGCATCCAAAAAGAGTCTGCAGTTTCTTTGTCTCGGTAGCAGGAGTTTGCGATTGTGTAGAGTGCACACAGTGGGACGCCTCTCACCGTGTTACCATCGGAGGCGGGGAGGGCAGGGATCTGAATTCAGTGGGATAACGTCAGACACGGGTACCAGACAGCGTCTCTTTCCCGGTCACTGCACTTTGTAAGGACTCTCAACCTCTGCTTCAGGTATTGTACAGAGTCATTAAGCATTGAAAAATGTTTACCGTGAGCCTTTTATGTGCTCTCAGGCTATGTAATGTGAGCATCTTCCTGTCAAAGTGCTAGTGTCCAGTCAGAATGTAAAGTTATTTTAAGAAAATCAAATTTCTTTTTTTGTAACTTGTCAGAGGATAACTAGGAAAAGTTTTGTCAGGCCTGTTAGTTTTGTAACAGTGTCTTTAACTCTTGAACTTAGAAAAGTGTGGGCTGTGCCTGCAGAAAGGGGACTAGGACTTGAGTCGGTGAGGCTGTGGCAGGAGGAGAGAGCGGGTGGCCCGTGTGGTGACCAGGAGTGTGTCGGACTGTTTGTTACCCAGGTTTGTCTCTCTGCTGCGCGACCGAGTCCCAGACATTTGCCCGTAAGATTAAGCCTGGAGCTTCAGGACAAGACCTTTTCTTAGAAGCAGAAATATGTCTTTTTTTATCCTTTGTCTTCAAAATTCAGACTTTTATGTGTCATATTTGGGTATTTGGTGAAGAACTTTCACTGACGGACGTTAGGTTTGCTCAGTAGAGTTGCCGTTGCGTTTCATGACACCGCACACTCAGTCATCGTGATAGCTTCAGAATTCTCAGTGTCTGATGTCTAGGACTGGGTGTTAGAAGGAGATCTATGAACTCCTTTTCTTTTCAAAAATAAGAGATTCTTCACCACAGTTTATAAATCACAGAAGTTATCTTGTAGTTTAATCTACCAAACTGGAAAACAGAGGCTTGATTACCTGTTGTTAATTCAAGACCGTTAAATTTTCCAAAGAAAGAAAGAAAGCTTGGTTTATGTACAATTAGAGAGGCTGGAAGAAAGAATTCGAGTTGCTCCCCAACCCTAGGAAATGTGAATGAATCCATCTCAGTTCTTAGCTCTTATTTCAGTAAGCTGCAATGACCAGTAGGCACGATGTCAGACTGTTACCTTATTCATTATAGCTGACTTACCTTTTATTGTAACACAGCTGCAGAAAGATCTAGAAGAGGTCAAGGTATTGCTGGAAAAGGCCACGAGAAAGAGAGTGCGTGATGTTCTGACAGCTGAAAAATCCAAGGTTGAGACGGAAATCAAGAACAAGATGCAGCAGAAGTCACAGAGGAAAGCAGACGCTCTCGACAGTGAGAAGCCGGCTGCCGTGGTGGCCCCCGTTGTGACGGGCTACACCGTGAAAATCAGTAATTACGGTAGGACCCGCTCCCCCGCGCCCAGCTCCTCCTGCCTGCGAGCAGCACCTGAGTCTGCTGTGTGACTGGCTAACACACTTAGTTGTTGAAGTAGCTTAGAGTGGTCGTTTTGTAGTTTGACAGAGCGGCCCCAGCTCTTAATAAGATGCTTTTTCAGAGATGAACAAGGAAAGGATACATTCTAGCAGCTGATTTAGTACAGTGATGAGGAGCAACAAGAAGGAACCTACTTAGCATACATGGAACACAGATCTTAGTTTGGGTTTTTTCCCGTTTTGCATTTCACTTTGCCGAGCAACCACCAGTATTAACCGAGGAAAGAAAGCTAGTCAAAGTCAGACATTTCCAAGCATCTGACATTTGCCACTGTTGTGCTCGGACTTGCGGGCGCATAGTGTGGCCAGCACCAGGCCCTGCTCACAGTCAGCCGCCCACTTGCCCCTTCGGACGCGTTTGTTGGAGCCCCTCAGAGGCCGGGGATGGCCTCATCTCTTCGTGCGCACAGTGTCTGGCACTGACTAAGCACTGGGGTGGCCAGAAGTTCATTCGTTGTTTTCTGTAAGGTGGCTTTAGTGGGCTTACTTGTCTTTTAACTTCACTCGAAACAATTTTGTTAACTTGTGTTGTGACAGCTATACCTGTGCATTTTTTAAAAGAAAAAAAATTGGTCAATTTTTGTGTAGCCATTTTAATAAAGATGAAAGAAAGTGAGCAACCTGTTTTGCAATTTATGCTTTGTTATGTCCAGAAAGGTAAAAATGCAGCTGAAATGCAAAATAAGATTTGTGCAGCGTACAGAGGTGGACTGTCACTGATCAGATGTGTCCAAAGTGATTTACGTGGTTTCGGGCTGGAGATTTCCCGCCGGAGGACGCTCCACAGTCGGGAAGAACAGTCGAAGTTCATAGAGATCATATTGCGACATTAACTGAGAACAGTCCACATTATACCACACAGAAGACAGCTGCCATACTCAGAACATCCAGCTCAATAAAGTTAATGGTGAAAGTGAAAAAATGTCTTTTACAGAAAGAGCTAAGTGGACTTTTTGGCCAACCCAGAATCTTGGGTCTTGTCTAGTGAAAAGCAGTGTGTGTCGTACTTAAGAGGCGCACTGTCGGGGTTACGCTGTGTCCTTAGTCAATTGACATGGGAAGGTGGGGGTGACACGGACACCGGCCCGCAGTGTCCACGCGTTATGGATGAGATATGATAAATTCACACGGACTACTGAGGCCTGTGGACTCAGTCCACAGAAAAGGGACAGCATGACTACTCCCTCCAGGCAGGAGCGCCTCGGAGCAGCCTGGCCACTCTCTGAAAAGAGCTGAAAAGCGCCTCGGCCCTTGCCTGGACAGGCTTTTATGGGGTTCAGTTACCACAGGAATACAGGTAAAGTGCATTAATTATTGTCAGGCAGTAAGGATCAAACAATAGGTAGCATACAAAGAACTACAGGGGGCCTATTCTGAGTCAGGGTCTGTTAGCTAAAGGGCTCCAAAACTTTGGGAAACAAGCTCATTTCCTGCTGGGACCTTTATCATTTAATCGAGAGCATTTTTAGCAAAGCAGGTTTCACGGGGCATTTACATATTCTTTCTTAGGCCTGATCACCCGGGAACCCGCCCTTTCCAGCACAGGGTGCACCACCCCGGCATTGTTTCAGGCTTGAGGCCAGCAGGGGGCGTAAGACGGCCCAGAGATTGGGAGACTTCCCTCAGACAGAATGAGGACTCAGGCTATGTCAAAACCAAGGGGCGAGGGCCCATCACCCCCTTTATCTGTGGCCCCCAAGTCCTCCCCTGGGGCCTCCACATGATCATGTCTTTCTTAGGTCGTCCCCCTTTGGGAAACCTTACCCATCACTGCCTAACCGACTACGCATTGGGGGCCAGTTATGGATGAAGTAAAAGGCGCAGAAGCAGCGCTCCTGCCAGGGATATAAGCTTTGTCTCCTTAGTGGCTCACAGTCCAAAGGTCACTCACTCAGCCTTAGCCATGGGGGGAGGTTACAGCTCCTGAAACCAGGGGGGCAGTTCCCAGCATGGGGGGTTCTGGCACATTAACCAGAACCTAGATTCGTGTTCAGGGAGAAACTTAATGTGGAAGCGTGGACTGGATGAATGGGGAGAAACTGGAGGAAGTTCTGTAGAACGCTGTGGGCTGTTAACGCTATTTTATTGTATAGGGAAGCACCGAGGAAGTGTTAGGAACGTGTATTTCATGTGTACATACTACATGTACACAGTAAACACATGTATTTCATATACTATGTAGGTGAAGTTTGTATTTCTTTTTTAAGTAAGAATTTGTCTCATGATAGTTTGAGTATTTCTGTGTTGACAAATCATCTAGTTCAGAAACTAACATAGTTTCACAGTAGGTGCTGAGCCGGCATTTAGTAGACGTTATGTTAGTCGGGTTGGCCGATTTGGGTGAACCGGACTCTAAGTTTATATTCCGCGTCATCAGAGAAGGGAGCCAAGGAGGCCAGAACTGGCCGTGTGTGTGAACCTGCTTCGGGAAGCAGCAGTGATTGCGGGGTCAGACAGTACTGATGTTTCGCTGTCCCCCTTGTGGAGAACCACCAATATTTAGGAATAGGACAAAGTTACTTTCATAAATAGGGGAAATGAACTACTGGTAAAGAATGTTTCTGAGAATCTGTAGATAAAGAAATATTCTTTACTTTGAGGAATTAAAAAAACACGGACTTTGTGTTCAGTAAACACAGACTCAAGTCTAGTTCTGCCATTGGCTAAAGGTTGAGTTTTGGGTGGTTACCCAACTGCTTTGGAGCTCAACTTCTCCATCCAGAAAATGTCTTACGTTTTAATTTTTTTCATGTTTCTACTGCTGGATTTCTGTCGTACCGAGTTTTATCATAAGCTATTTGCTCTTCTGTTTTAGAGAGAGGACCAGACTCACATGTCCCTCTCTGTGGTTCTTGTCCCCAGGATGGGATCAGTCGGAGAAGTTTGTGAAAATCTACGTCACTCTGGCTGGCGTCCATAATGTCCCCACGGAGAACGTGCAGGTGCATTTCACAGAGAGGTGAGCCCCCGCTGCGGGGAAGGCAGCAGTCTTCTGGGCAGAGGTCACCTTGGAGGGAGCTCTGCTCCGCAGTTTCTGCAGCCCGCCCAACTTACCTGCTCTGGGGGGGTGGCCGAGTGGTCTTTCTGAAACCGCACTGGCGGCTGTTCTCTGCAAGATGAGGCGCACCTTTCATAGAGCCAGATAGACGGTTTATTCACTGTTGTGTTGTAGGTCATTTGATTTGTTGGTAAAGAATGTCAACGGGAAGAATTACTCCATGATTGTGAACAACCTCTTGAAACCCATCTCTGTGGAAGGCAGTTCAAAAAAAGTAAGTTTGCTCTTTCTGTCATATCATGAAACCTCATTAAATTGTACCTGGCTGATTTAGAATTGAGATAAACCAGGACTGATTAATGCTCCATAAGAGGGACCTACGAACCGCAGCACGTTGAGTATTTTGTCCCTGCATTTCTGCTTGGACACGGCCTCCTGTGTTGGGCGTGTGGCTGCTGTGGGGCTCCGGATGCGGGGTTCCGGGGCTGCAGCAGGTCTTGTGGCCACACGGTCTAAAATATCTGCTCTCTGGCCGTTCACAGAAAAAGTCTGCCAACTCCTGGTCTAGAAAAATAGAATATCATAAGAATATTGCATTAAAATCAGGAGAGGAATGAGGTTTTTAAATGGTTCAGAGTGGGACTTGAGTTTTAACTCTGGTCTTGCCACTTCCTGGTCGTGACCTTTAAGCAGTTTCCTCGTTTGTACAAAGGAATAATAGTTCATTTCACAAAGTTGAAATGAAATATGTATGAAGTGTTTGATGGTAGCCCTGGTTGGAAGCTTTGTGTGGTTTTGATATATAAAAGGACTGAAGTACCTAACCTGGTTGGAGTTAGTAGAAGCTATAAAAATAAACTGCCTAAAAAAACTCATCCACACTTTCTACTGATTCAGATAATCCCTCTTTCTACCCCATTTAAATGAGGTTACGCATCTGGTATATAGATGTGCCGTTCTGCCGTCTGCGTGTGGGTGGAATTCTGTAACAGTCTAATGATGACATTAGAGTATTATTTATGTATTAGCTTCTGTCTCACTGCTTGGTTTGCATCCGCCAATCCGTGGTTGAAGGAACACCCCAAAGGCCCTGAAACCCCAGGGAGCATGGTGGGGGGAGCCTCGTGCTCTGTGCTCCTGTTTCCTTGGTGCCTCCCAGACTGGCAGTCGGCGCCGCCCTGCATGATGGGGTTTCCTGCCTGTCTGGGACCCTCTCGCTGTGCTACCCCATCCTCCACCAAAGCCCAGCCTCTCCTCTCTGCTTTTCAGACACCAGACCCATCCCATCCTGGAGCTTGTCTGCTTGCTCTGCCCGTTGTCTTGAGGGCCCTTCTACTGCACCTTGGGGAAGGCTTCCTGGTGAAGGACCCCCCGGCTCCCACCAACACCCTTTATGTTTTGAGGACACTTGGTATTTGAAGGTGTTCTGGTAGAACTTGTGGTCTTTCTCCTGCGTGAGTGCTTAGGCTCTGGCCCTTCACCTGAGGGCCTTACTAGGACCTAAAACAGGCCCACGAGTGGCAGTGACGACCAGGGAGGAGCTGCTTGTCTTCTGAGCTTCTGTGCTGGCCTCCGCGCATCTGAGCTGGGCCCGTGTTACCTTCTCTTCCAGGTCAAGACAGACACGGTGATCGTCCTGTGCAGGAAGAAAGCGGAGGGCACAAGGTGGGACTACCTGACGCAGGTGGAAAAAGAGTGCAAAGACAAAGAGTAAGTGCCCTTTCGTTTCTTTAAGAAGGTAGTACCTTCTTTGCTGGGCTTCTCGATTTCTAAGGGCTTGTCTTTGGGGATGACGGAGTTGTGTAGTCTGTGATTGGATCACTTACCTCTCGGTGTCCACAGGCTGACTCAGTTACCTTCACACTTGCTCCAGCTGTCAGAACCTTCTGGAAGTGTCCAGCACATTGCTTTTGGTTGGCTCTTGGTGCCGGTTCTTAACGCCCGGCCAGTGGTGCTTCTCTGGGCACATGGTGCCCATTTCCAGGGATCCCGCTTCGGTAGTTCCCCCGGGACCCAGGCACCCCAGGGTTCGCGAGGGCCACAGAGGGCTCTGAGAAGGTGGTTAGGGTTTCACCACCGCTGATGGAGAGTGGGAAGGATATTTTCCTCCTACTTAATGGCTCTTCTCAACAGTGTTTAAAGACCTCTGTGTCAGTTGCTCATTGCTCTGCATCTCAGCCTCTCCTTGGGGGCGGGGGCCTCTGGGGTGCGGCTGACTAGGCTGGGCGCTTAGTGAATGAGGCGAGTGAGGACTTTAAAGGGAACTGGGCCAGTTGGACACGGACTGAACTGGAAAAGGCACCGACCACGTTGAGGACTGTTGTTTTCACCACCTGCCCAGTCCGCTGTGTCTCAGGCTCCAGAGGAGGGCTTTTCCGATAGGCGATGTGGGAGTGTCCGAGTGTAACGGGCGTTGATGTGTTTCTCAGAGTATTTGCAAATAATATGAGGAAACATGCTTTTAAAAAATTAGGATAGTTCAGAACAGTAAATGCTCATTTACTTACATTTCCACTAAAAGTGGCCTAAAACCCTGCCGTCCCAAGAGAACCTCTGGCCGTTTCGATGCCCACCCTTTCATAGAACCAGTGGGATCACGTGTAGGCGCGTGTTGCTCTCACTGAGAATTCGTATGTGCTGCATCGTGGGTGTCTGTGGGCCCGCGGTCTCCTCCCCTGTCCGTGAGCATCAGTGGCCTGATCCGTATCTCTCCACGCTTAGTAATGATGCATACGAAATTTCTCTCAGTAAATGGGATCATTTGTGCGCGTGTTCATGTGTGTCCATTTTTAGATGTATGTGTATTTTTCAATTGTTTCCTTTTTTAACAGAAAGCCTTCCTATGACACGGAAACAGACCCTAGTGAGGGGTTAATGAATGTTCTAAAGAAAATTTATGAAGATGGAGATGATGATATGAAGCGAACCATTAATAAAGCCTGGGTACAGTCGAGAGAGAAGCAAGCCAAAGGAGACACAGAATTCTGAGGCTGTAAAGCCCTTTTGGGAACTGTGATATGGAAATACTGATGTTTCGATGAGGACACGTTGGTGAGCCGCACAGATAAATGTAACCGATAACATTATACAGAGTCATCTTCTAAGTCAAGGCAGTGAATTCTCCTACTGGAGGGTTTATTTAAATAAAATACTCTTATTAAATACTTCCTCTAAAGATGGTTTCCTTGTAAACTGGTCATTTTGTTCAACAAGGAGTAATACTGCATTCGCATGTGAACTGTGAAAAAGCAAGTCTTGCCTAGTGAAAACGCCCTGTCGTGTTTTTGTTCATCTAAGAGGTAGAGAAGTTAGTGCTTCTTAAGTTCCTGGCATCAGTTCTCACCAATGTAAGAATAAGTAAAAAAAAATAAAATAAAACTTGAACTTTTGCATAAAATGCAACTTTGTATCTGCTTCCAGGTGGCTGTAGAGAGTCCATTTCTTCTGTGTTAGCAGCTTAAGTAATGCACGCACCTACCTTACGGTGCCCTGAGGATCCCCTCAGAGTGTTCTGCACTAGGTTTAAATATGTTTGTTGATGAATAAATGGAAACCAAGTCTGATCATGACAAGCACACACGTCTCTGTATAGTACCCATTAGTGAGTGTTGCCGGGGTCAGCGTACAGAACAAAGCAGTAGCCACTGGCCAAAACAAATGTGAAAATCCATCGTATTTCAGTCAAGTTAGGGTTTCATTTGGTGACACAGCTTGACTATTAGTTTATCCAGGAAAGGCCAGGCTTTGTGGGGGATTGTTTGTTCTAGGGGGAATCACTTACCGTAAAAACAGGGAGAGGGGCGAGATGCCTGTGGTCGCCGTCCTAGGTTGTGATACAGGTTAAACACACAGGAAAAGTCCGGGAGGATTAACCAAAACCACTGTAACGAGAATTTGGTGCACATGGTACAGTCAGATTTGGTAGGTAGTGCTTAGAATGAACTAACAGCCAATGTGTAGGATGGTTGTTGGTACCACTGAACACGTTATTAAACCTTGATAATGAAAGCTGGGATGTTGACACATGAATAACAGACCAGTGGAACAGAATAGAGAGGGGCCCGATGCAGGAGTCTTTATTGAGCTTCACTTTATTGCACTTCACAGGTGTGTTTTTTACAAATTGAAGGCAAGACCCTCCACCAGCAGAAAGATTACAACTCGCTTTATTGCGATACGCACTTTATTTCGGGGGTCTGGAACCGAACCTGCAGTATCTCCAAGGTATGCCTTGTAATAGCATTTCAAAACCAGGAGAGGTGAGCTTTTATCGAAATAACCAAAAGTAATAATATATACATTCCAAAGAGGTGAAAGGTTTAAATGTAAAATGAAGCCATGTGAGTGTTAGAAGACATGACTGGAACTCCACAGTAACCTGAGTAAAGGAAACCTACACTACCTGACTTGAAAACGAGAAGTAATAAGGCTGAATAAACAGTGGTTAATTTCAACTACGTAATAAATGTTTACACGGCCAAAAAACCCACACACATAATAAAAGACACATAGCCAAGAGTTCACAGAGAAATGAATGTAAGTGGATTTTAACATGAAAGGATGCTCACCTTGTTTAGAAGAGAAAACTCTTTTTACCTCTTATTGGAAAAACTCAGAAGTGTAGCGTGTGGATGGTTGAGGGTCTGGGGGACTCACAGTGGGGTAAAGAGAATGAGACAGTTGGTCGTTGCTGCCAGCGTCATGTGCACTTGTCCTCTGACTCCCAGCTCCTCTAGCTCCTTCCCCAAAGATGATGATATTGACCAAGATTGGGAATGATATTTGCAAAAGATCAGAACCACCCAGGTGTCAGTTACAGGAGGACTAGCTGAGTGAGCCAGGGTGTGTCTGCACAGGCACTGCTTAGGGTCACAAACAGGAACGAAGGGTGCCAAGTCCTGGTGCAGCAAGCGATCGCCAGATCACCAGGACACGGCCAGTGGGAAGGCGGCGTTCAGAGCGCCATTTGTGGTGCACTCAACTGCCTTATGTTAGAGCTGGCGGGCATGTGGTATATATATGTATTGTATATATGTATTGTATATATACAATACATATATTTGCCTGTATTTCTCCAACTGAAAGGGTAAATCCAAACTATCAAGAAAGGTTTCCAGTAGGAAGGAAGGGCAGGGTGGAAGTGCTATTTCTGTGAATGTACCTTTTTCTTTAGTTTTGACTTGAGAACCATCTAAAATTTAAAAGCTAATTTAAAATAACCCTAACATTTGAAAACATACCAAGTTACAAACGTGGCTTTCGCGTGGCTTTGGAACACGGCATTTTGACTGTCCGTCGGCTAGTGCGCTGCTGGGACTACTGCAGATTGATGTGATTAGGAGCTAAGTTTTTACAAATATAAAATCAATATAAACTTACTGTTTTGTCTGGAAAAGATACCCATTTCTTCACAAGTCCAACCGAAAGGGCCTAAATGCGTCAAGCAACAGCATCCAGAATTCAGTAGCAATGGGCGGCACCCTTGGCACTCAGATGTGGTCCCCGTGCACTGTTTGCTACTCACAACACCAGAGATGCTTGGGGGGGTGGGTGGAGTCTGGGGCAGGAAATACCCCAGGAAGCCTGGGTTCTCTTACGTCAGAACGTGAGGAAAGGTCCAGTATCTTCTACCACGGCAACAGGGTAAAGGACCCAGCAGTGGAGGATCGGGGGCAGTGGGTTAATCTTAGCCTGAAATTAATGCCCGGAGTGGGTTGAAACAGAATCTGCAAGTTCACGGTAGTGAAAGATTATTTATCGCCTTTGGAAACTGCTTGAGCACCACTTACTCTGAAAGTTGTTAGAAAACCATGCATTTATCTAGTCTTTATAGTAAGAAATCTATTTCAGGGTAATACATGGTTGATAAGGGAAAGTTCCTTAATGACAAATTCCAGTTAATGCAGAAAGACTGGTGAAAATTAGAACGTACCTATTGCAGTCCTTAATGACAGAGGGTGGATTAATAAATGGTGAACTTCAAGTTCAGGGATCAGGCTGAGCTTTAGAGATGACTATCAATCATCTGTAAAAGTGGGGACAACCGGGTAAGTGCCTTCGGATGTGGTAGAAAGTGCACAGCATACTGGGAAAACTCGTTTCGAAATAATTGGACCTGTGGTTAGTCAAGCTTTGGGACGTAACAGCCAGTTTTGTAAAGACAGAGGAGTAAGTTAAAGGACACGTGGAGAAGCAAACAGCCAACAAAAGACAAGATACAGAGCAACCCAGTGCAGGTCATGCTTGAGTCCTGATTCAAACGACAGGTTGGGAGGCATCTTAGCCGGGAATGCCGGAAGTCAGCAAATGTGAAGTTCTAGTTCTAATTGGACTGACACTAGTTTCCAGCTGGGATCAGCTGGCCCTCCAGTTTGTCATTGGCGGTGTAACTTTAGAAATGCATCCCCGGTATATCGTGGTGATTCCCTCTCGGATCTTCAGCAAGGTCCCGACTCTGCTCTCCAGCTGCACTGGTGGCTGCCCCTTCGGGACGACACAGGCCCCCCAGGTGTTACACGACTGACACCTGAACTTCCAGATGTTCCCCAAACCCCTTCTTCCCCGACCCCCACTATCTTCTGACCGGGGCTTGCTCTGTACCACCTATCTAGTCACCCTTACCAGGAACCGAGGGAGACCCTTTCTCCTTTTTAAAATTTCAGTGTTTTTTACATTTATCTTTAGAGAGGGAAGAAGAGGAAAATGGGAAAACAAGTTGCCTTTTGCACAGCCCCAACTGGGGACCTGGCCTGCACCTGAGGCATGTGCTTTGACTAGGAATCGAACCAGCGACCTTTTGGTTTGCAGGCTCTGCCCAATCCCCTGAGTCTCACCATTCAGGGCCAGAGAGCCCTTCTACCTTTTAGATATAAGCAGTCTCTAGGGCTTGCCCAATTTTCTTTCCTAATACTTAAATTTGTTCTATCTTCTCCTTTGCTAACATCGCTATCTTACTTCAAGCCCTTGTCTTCCTGGACAATTAAGACATCCTTCCAACTGGTTATCCTGCGTGTAGCCTTTTCCATTTTTGGCTGCGTACCACCATCCATCAGTTACCTGTAGAGCAAGCTGGTGATGTCATTCCTTTGCTTAAAACTCTGCAGTGGCTGTGTTTAAATTAGGTCTCAGCTTCTTGCCATCCATGACATCCGTGGTTTGGCCCTTGCCTTGTCCTGATGCATTGAAACAATTAGTTTCACTGTTTGAAGCCTTTATGCCTTTGCTTCCACCGCTCTGCCTGCACAGAATCTCGTGGCTGGCCGCCCAGCGCACTCCCGAGGGTTGAGTAGGTGCCTCCACACTACTCCCTGCACGCTTGTGTCACTGCACACTGCTCCTGCCGGAGACAGCCTTTTGCTACCCCAACTCATTCTGCTACAGGGGACATGAACGGGAAGACCGAGACTTGACTATGCAACAAAACTCTTCCTCTTCGGATAGGGTTTTCAGGGACTTTGTTCTAAGGGTCCCGGGAGATGGAACAAGAAAACTGGTTCCACTGCTAACTTGCCACCGCACAAAGTTGAGGGTCAGGTAATCAGACGTCAGCTCTCCCTTCCCACGCCCTGTTTCTCTAACAAGAAACCAACAGGAGAGTGGACAGTGAGGCCAGCGAGGCCAGCCCAGGGCTAAGATGTGCCAGAGATGCGCTGGCTCCATTGTGGTAAGCTGGATTAACGGTACCTCGGATCCTGCGTTAGGAGAGAATGCCCTTAAGTGCAGGGACCCCAAAAGGCTGCTGGAAGATGCAACTTGAAGGGAAAGGCAAGCATACAGAGCCTGTTTTCACAGAAAATATTTTTTATTATTCTGCACCATGCATGAGAACAGCATATTTAATTCAGTCCAACGACTGAATTGGGGAAAGAGAATTCACCAAAGGATGAACCACCCAAATGTCTTCACTGAAAATTTAAGTGTAACGGCATCAGGCAGACTAGACTCCCGTGCTAGATGGGAAAAGGGCTTCTGTCTTAGGAAAGTCTTTTGTCACAGCCAATTTCCCTGGACGCTCGTAGGCTCTGGGGCGGATCACCACATGGCCCGCTGGACCCCAGACATTTGCCCGTGGTCGGCTAAGTGACGGAAGACGATGCGGCTGAGCCTCCAGCGCCGCTTCACACCACGTGGCCGGGATGTCATCACGCACCGGTTTCTGATTCGCACGGGGCAGCTATCCCGGGGAAGGGCAGCAATTTCTTCATCAGCCACTTCCTAAGAGAAGGCACGACACTGTTAGATCACATGAGTGCACTGAGTCCAGATGCTGAGGTCAGTGATCTGAGGAGGAGAACGACAGGCTGGATTCACTAATGTAGCCAGAGTGTGGCCAAGGAACCTCGGCCACGGTCAGGAACCCTAACCTCAAAGCTCAACAGACCGGAAAAATGGCAAATGTCTGACGTGGCCCCGTATGACTTTTAAAGACGCACAAGCTGTAAGTGGAAAGCTCAGTGACCACAACAACACGTTCGTGTGACCAAAACTGGACAGAAACACCGTCACCGGCCCCGAGGCTGCACCCGCGCCTCCTCCCGGCATTGTAACAGCCAACCTGGTTACCACCACGGACTAGTTCTCACTATGAACGTTACATAAATATAAACACAGAGTGTGCACTTCCCATTCATCGTTCGGTTTCTTCCACCCACCAGTGTGTTTACGAGGTTTATCTAATTCTGTTGCACGTGTCAATTGGTTCACGCACATTGGTGGAAACTTACCCATCCTACACTTGATGGACATCGGGTAGTTCTAGTTCTGAGCTGTTATTTATGAGGCTGCTACTTCCATCCTTGTTTAAGTCACGTGGGAACCGTGTGAACGCATTTCTGCTGTCTTCCCCATGTGAGTTCCCAGCCTTACTGACATGTAATGGACATACGACAGTGAGTTTACAGTGTGCAGCATGGTGACTCGGTGCCTGTATGTACTGTGAAATAATTACCACAGCAGGTTCCTGACCACCTCCGTCACCTCACCTAATTACCTTTCTCGTAATTTAAAACTCACTCTCTTGGCAACTTTGAAGTCTATAATGTGGTGTTGGTAACCTCAGTCACCACGCCGAACTCACTCGTAACTAGAAGTCTGTCCGCTCGGACCAGCATCTCCTTTCTCCCCTGTTCCCGGCCTCTGCTGAGCACCGTTCTGTTCCTGTGAGTTCTGCTTTTTTAGGTTCCACACACAGATGAGATCACAGTATCTGCCCTTCTTTGTCACTTACCTCACTTATCGAAATTGCCCTCGAGGTACATCCACGTTACTGCAAAAAAGCAGGGGTCCCTTCTTGTGAGCACAGTGCCACACTCATCCGTGACACCTGGGCTGCTTCCACGGCTTCGCTGTTGTGAACAGGCTGCAGTGCACTTAGGGGCACACGTATCTTCTCTGGTGACTTCATTTGCGGTGGGTGTTCAGTGAGAAGTGCGGTTGCTGGGTCACATGCGGTAGTTCTAGTTTTTTGAGGAGCTTCCACGGTGGCTGTATCAGTTTACATTCCTACCAATAATGCATGGAGCCACTGTACATTTGTGTCTTTGGAGAAATGTCTGGTTAGGTCTCTGCCCATTTGGGGGGACTACCTTTTAAATATACAGTTAACACAATATATTGTATTAGTTTTAGGTTTACGACAGTGATTTGCTACTTATGTATGTGATCACCACAATTAAGTCTAGTTCTGTCTGTCACCATATCAGGTTATTATAATATATTGTATTGACTATATTACCTGTGTCTCTGCCCATTTTTAAACTGGATTTCTTTTCGGAATTTTTTTTTACTGTGGCGTGAATTCCATATACGTCTTGGATGGACAGTAACACCTTATCGGGTACACGGTGGGCAGATACTGTCTCCCACCCACTAGGCCGCCTCTTCGCATTGTTTCTTCCCAGTGCAGAGGTTTTAGTTTGGTGCGGTCCCACTAGTTTACTTCAGCTGTTGTTGCCATACTGACAACTGCTGTTGTTCACACTGTTGGTGCCACACCTAAAAACTTGTTGCCCAAGCTGTTGGTGTCATATCGAAGGCTGTTGTTGCTCACACCGTTGGTATCACACCTAAAAACCATCGTTGCTCACGCTGTTGGTGTCACGGTGACAACTGCTGTTGTTCACACTGTTGGTGCCACACCTAAAAACTGTTGCCAAGACCAATGTGAAAGCTTTTTTCTTATGTTTTTTTCCTAGGAGTTTGGCATTTTCAGGTGTTAAGTCTTTAACCCACTTCAAATTCATTTTTGTGAGTAGTATGAGGGTCCAATTTCATTCTTTTGCATAGGACTATCCAGTTTCCCTAACACCACATATTGAAGAAACTATCCTTTCCCCTACTGGGTATTTTTAACTCCCCTGTCATGCATTTATTGATCATTTACGTGGGAGTTTATTTCTGGACTCGATCCCGCTCCATTGGTCTGTATGGCTTTTTTATGCCAATACTATACACTTTGGATTAGTACAGCTTTGTTATAGAACTGGAAATCAGGAAGGGTGACGCCTCCAGCCTTGTTCTTTCTCGTGATTGCTTTGGCAATTTGGGGCTCTTCTGACACTCCAAATGAATTTTAGGGTTACTTCACTGTTTATTATTTTTGAGAAACACCACCAGAATTTTGATAGGGCCCGCACAGAACCTGCAGATGGGCTTGTGTAGTACCTGCCGTTTTAACAGTATCAATTCTTCTGACCCAGGAACACAGGGTCCCTCTTTATTTAGGTCTTCTTCAATGTCTTTCATAAGTTTCTTGCAGTTTCCAGTGTATAGATCTTTCACCTTAAATTTATTTCTGGTATTTCATTGCTTTTCTTTTTTTTTAATCCTCACCTGAGGATATTTATTGATTTGAGAGAGAAATGGAGAGAGAGAAACATCGCTTGGCTGCCTCCCGTACGTGCCCCAACTGGGGATCAAACCCACAGCTCTAAATATGTGCCCGATCAGGGACCGAACCTGCAGCCATCCGCGTGTGGGACAGTTGTTCTCGGGATTTCTTTTTCACATAGTTTGTTGTTAGTATATAGAGATGCATCTGAATTCATTGTTGGTTTTGTATCCTGCAACTTTACTGAACTCATTGATTAGTTTTAACAGTTTTTTTGGTGCAGTCTTTAGGATATAAGATCACATCATCTGCAAACAAAGACAATTTAACTTTTTCCTTTCGATTTGTGTGCCTTTTTCTTTTTTGACTTCCCTGATTGCTCTGGCTGGGACTCCTAGTACTACACTGAATAGGAGTGGTGACGAGGGCACCCTTATCTTGTTCCTGACTTTAGGGGAAAAGCTTTCAGCCTTTCATTGTTGAGTATATTAGCTGTGGGTTTATTATGTTGAGGTGTGTTCCTTCCATAACCAATTTGTTGAGAGTTTTTAAGATGAAAGGATGTTGCTCTGGCTGGTGTAGCTCAGTGGATTGAGCACGGGCCTGCGAACCAGAGGATCGCGGTTTGATTCCCAGTCAGGGCACATGCCTGAGTTGTGGGCCAGGTCCCAGAAGGGGACGCACAAGAGGCAACCACACATTGATGTTTCTCTCTCTCTCCCCCTTCCTTCCCCTCTAAAGATAAATAAATTTTAAAAAAAGATAAAGGGGTGTTCAATGTTGATGCTTTTTCTGTATCTGTTAAGATCATATAATTGTTATCTTTGGTTCTGTGTATTAATGTGTATCATTTATTCCTTTGCATGCTGAACCATCCTTGAATCCCAGGAATGAATACAACTTGATCACGGTGTATGATCTTCTTACTGTGCTGCTGAGTTTGTTTTGCTAGTATTTTCTTGAGAACCCTTGCATCCATATGCTTCAGGAATACTGGCCTATAGTTCTCCTTTCTTGTAGTGCCCTTACCTGGCTTTGGTGTCTGGGTAGTCATGCCCGCCTCATCAAATGAATGTGGAGCTGTTCCCTCCTCTTCAGTATGCTGGAAGAGTGTGAGAAGGTCTGGTGTTAACTCTTCTTTAAATGCTTGTCGGGTTGTTATGTTTCTAACAATCTATTCGTTTCCTCTAGGTTATCCGACGTGGCGGCACACAGTTGAGTATATTACCCTCTGTGATCTTATGTCTGTGGTGTCGGCTGAAGTGTTTTCTCTTTCATCTGATTTTATTTATCCGAGTGCTCTCTTTTCTGCTTTGTTAGTCTAGCTAAAGGTTTGTCAATTTTTTAAATCTTTTCAACAAACCAGCTTGTAGTTACACAGATCTTTAGTGTTTGCCTGGTCTCTATTGCATTTACTTCTCTTTATTTCCTTTCTTCCGCCAACTTTGGGCTTAGTTTGCTCTTCTTTTTCTCTTTCCGAGAGGCACATAGTTGGTTATTTCCCACACAATTCTGCGTCACGAAAGTATGAAACTTCTGGGCTGAAGCAGCAGCAGGAAGAACCGTGGTGGGGAGGAGGCCGTCTCGGGAGGGAGGGTAGGACCCTGCACAGCCCTGACGTCTGTGGTCAAGATTCTGACTGAGGGAGAGGCCGAGCGAGTGAGCAGATGCGGTTTACAGGTTTAAAAGATCATTTGTAAAGCAGAGAGTGAGCCTGGTCCGGGCAGAAGTGGTTGAGGGGAGAAAAATGGAACTTCTGCAGTAGCTCGCACTATGGTTTCGCCAGTTGAAGTTTATTCTTCTGTGTGTACCTAAAGGTGTGGGTGTGTGTGCCTGTAGTAATACACTTACTTTTATCTGACAAGTATGATTGACTTTGTGCTAGATTGTGGTGGAAGCAAAACAATTACTCTAACGTATTAAAAGTACATAAATTAGCCCAGCCAGTACGGCTCAACTGGTCATCGCTTATACCAAAAAGTTGGGGTCTCAATTCCCGTTCAGGGAACACACCTAGATTGTGGGTTTGACTGGTTGGGCCGTACACAAGAGGCAACAGAATGATGTTTCTCTCTTTCTCTTTTCATCTCTCTATAAAATCAGTAAACATATTTTAAGTACATAAATGAGAAAATTCACATGAAAGCCACTAAATTAACATAAACTATTAAGCATTAAGGACAGTTTCTGGTCCTGGCCATTGTGGTTCTGTTGGTTGGAGTGCTGTTGTCCCTACACCCAAATCTCAGGGGTTCAGTTCCTGGTCAGGGTGTGTATGGAAGACAACCAATCAATGTTTCTCTCTCTTTCTCTCTAAAATCAATAAACACACTTCAAAAAAATTTAAAAGAAAAGAATACCTCCTGGTTTCCAACAGCTTGTAGATACGTTGCTGTTATGAAATACTGACAGAATTGTACAAAAGAACACAATTAAGTCAATGAACGGGAGACAGTAAGTGTTACGGGAAGAGCTGGAGAGAAGAGAGAGGACCAGGCTGGAAGAATGCAGTAGCTTCACGGAGGCAGACCTTGAAGAATAACTGCGAACTACTTATTTACGTATGTGCGTTAACAGTGTACACGCGCCCCCCACCTCTCCCTGTTCCCCGAGTGCAGGCAGCTCACAGTGAGGGAACGAGGCGGAGGCAGGTGGGACCGGAGCGCGCGCTGTGCACGCCTGCGGCTGGGTGACACGGGGGTGTGGGCACCGGCCCGGAAGCCACTCAGCCGGCAGCAGGGGCCACCGTCCGTTCCCACGATTCAGAGTCTCTGCACAGCTACTGCTGCCCTCATGTCAGAGACGTTTCCTTAAGGAGTTTCACAAGTAGCATCCTCCACAACACCTTGAGCTGAGAGGGCCACTTCTTGTTACACCCCAAACACAGGCAAGTGCCTTAAGCCATTACAGTCAAAGGCATAAAAGAGGGTCCAGGGCACTCAGTTATCTATTCACCTGCCTTAATCTGGACAAGATGTAAAAGAACCCATTGTATTGAATGGCCTATATAGTCTGCAAACTTCTACAAACCTATTTTATCTTTACTCTTGAGCTTTTGATAAGTTGAGTGGCCCTGAGTTTGAGTTGTACCCCCATGACCCTTGAATGCAGGACCCTTGAATGCAGGCACTCTGTGTCACCAGTTAGGTGCAAGACCTTGGGTGTCAGGAAGCCAAGCAGGGTTGACATGCTCTTATTCAAGTTAGGGAGTCTGGGCAAAGGAGTTCAGACAGGTGGGCTACAAATAGCCCCGGGTGAGGAACAAACAGCCCCAGGTGTCAGCAGAGCTCAGGGCGTGGGGACAGGTGGGGGAGGGACCCGAGGTCACCACCACCCACGGTCTCCGTGTGGCGGCCGCGCCCCAGTGCTTTCTAAGGGTCACCTAACAAAATGGATAGAAGTTTAGTAGTTAGGAATGAATGATTCTCTCTAATCTGAAACTCACCAAAATCAGTGTGAAGGATGTCTGTGTTGACTAAGAGTACTTGATCATCTTCTCCAGAAATTATTTTGATAGTAAGTCACAACAAACAGTATCAAAAGTGATCCGATTTGAGCTAATGACCTTGGGTAGACAGGGACTCATCTGAATTAGCTAACCTGAAGGATTTTCGGCAAAATGGTGTTCTTCCTGAGCGAATTAATCCGGAGCCTCTCGTCTGCATATTCGTAGGCCATTTTCCGCCTCTTCACATCACGCAACATTCTCCAGTCTACGTAGTAACCTCGAACTTGACCTGAAACTGATGAAGGAACCATCTGAAAGAGACGAGGAACAACTGAAGGAACAGCCCGACCAGGCTCTGCCAGTGTCCCCACCCTGCAGTCCTCTGTCAGTCACTACTTACTACCACCTATTTTGTTTTAGTAATTTAGGATCACTTTAATAATCACAGACATCTTCAGTCCAAATAAATAACTTTGGGGGATGTACATTAAGCCAAAATGGTGGTAACTAATACAATGCCAGTAATGTGTGTTGGAAGGTAAAATATTTTCTGAGGTTTTTAATATAATTCTGTTTGATCTTTACTCAATAGTTATATGGTTCAACATTCAAAGAAAGTATGAAAAGAGCCCTGGCCAGTGTGCACTGAACACCAGACTGCCAACCAAAGGGTTGCTTGTTCGATTCCCAATCAGGGCACAAGCCTGGGTTGCAGGCCAGGTCCCCAGTAGGGGGCGCTCAAGAGGCAACCACACTTGGATGTTTCTGTCCCTCTCTTTCTCCCTCCTTTCCCCTCCCTAAAAATAAATAAATAAATAAAATCTTTACCAAAAAAGCATTTTAAAAAAAAGGATGAAAAGACATACAGTGGAGTCTCCCTCCCACCTCACCTGGTCAGTGACCACCTCCTGCCTCCAAAGGTATCCAGTTACTAGTTTCTCCCCAAACTTTTGTCTACACAGACACATGCGCACAGCCTCATGTGTTCCTCTCACCCGTGTTCCGTCCCTTCCCTCCCCCTTTGCGTTTAATGGTGTCTCTTGGAGATCTTTCCACACCCGGACACCTTCCAGTCCCCTCCCCTCTGTGGATGCGGCAGGGTCAGGGCACACGACCTCAAAATACGGCGCCTTGGCATACTGATCATTTTAAGCAAAACAAACGTGAACAATGCCAAGTGCACAAGCGACTTTCTGACCTTCCCTCGAAGCCGTTAAGACCCTCACACGAAGGTGAACGCTCCTCGCACGGGGGGCGGTGAAGAGCATGCTCGCGTATGAACTGAGAACAGTCTGCACACACAGGCCTTGCTGTTTCTCCCAGGGCACCCTTAGCTCCTGCCCTTGGTCGCGTGACACGCTGCCTCGACTTCCCGCTCTGCACCAAACCAACACAGAACTCGGACTGAACCATTTCTGTTGGTCTCCGGTTCCCTAGGAAGGCTCCCATGTCACGTACAACTTACAAATCTGTATGCTTTTCTTTTGTTAATCTGTCTTTTGTTAGGGCCCCAGCTAAGAACTAAGAAGGGTCAGAAGTCTTTGGGGAAATTATTTTTTCTCCCCCCAAAGGCATCATAATTTATTTGACCTGTGACTTACCAGTGGACAGGCAGACCACACCTCACCATTTACCACTGTAAAACACGCCCTGGGGAGTAACCTCCTATACAAATCATTTCACGTGGATCCTATACATCGGCAAGGGAAACTGTTTTCATTTAAGATTTTATTTATCTTTAGAGGGGAAGGGAAGGAGAGAGGGAGAGAAATATCGATGTATGGTTGCCTCTCCTGTATCCCCTGCTGGGAACTGGCCTGCAACCCAGGCATGTGCCCTGACTGGGAATCGAACCGCGATACTCTGCTTTGCAGGCCCACGCTCAATCCACTGAGCTACACCAGCCAGGGCTCAGCAGGGTAAATTCTTAGAAGCAGAACTACAGGGTCAAAGGGTACTTTGAAATGATCACTGACCAAATATTTCTTAGCATGAGCCGTCCAGAAACAACACAGCAGGCTCCCTGTTATCACGTTTGCATGGTGATAGTCCACAGTTCTGACCGACAGTACAGGCATAGAGCACAGGCCACTAAAAACTCCAATATCTCCCAAACCAGAGCAAACATTACAGCTAATTAAGTTGCAGCTACAGAAAATGATGATGGCTTCCTATAACAGCTGTTTATAGAGGAAATACATGAGGTCTGTCCCGAAAAAGTCCGGCCATTGTTAATATAACAACGGTTTTATGCAACATTGATGTAACCTGGCAGCCAAGGAGAGTGGACTGGCACGCGCATGCGTGAACAAGGACGACTTCACTGTACTACTCAGTGGGGGCGGCAGACACTGAGTGAGCGTGTGTACTGTGTGGCTGTCACATTCAAAATGACTGAGCAGTAGAGCAACAAAGCTGCATCAGATTTGGTGTTAAAGTTGAGCTCGTTCAGCGGGAACTATTCGGATGATTCAGAAGGCTGCAGCGATGGGCAACTGGTGATTGGCAGCTTTATCACCAAAACACGCCCGCTTAGGCATCACATCTCGCACAGAGGGTTTTGGCAAAACATCAGATCACCCAGGTGACTCGGCCCCTCTACAGCCCAAATTTGGTGCCCTTTGACTTCTGGCTTTTCCCCAAAACTAAAATCACCTTTGAAAGGGAGGGGATATCAGATAGTTGGTCAGATTCTGGCAAATACAATGGGGGAGTTGATGGTAATTAAGAGAACTGTGTGAGGTCCTAAGGTGCCTACTTTGAAGAGGACTGAGGTACCATTGTCCTATGTACAATGTTTCTTGTGTTTTCTTCAATAAATGTCTCTTTTTCATATTACATGGCCAGATACCTCGTGGACAGACCTTGTATATACAGCATTTACAGAATATAAAACTGAAAATGGGAATACTAGAAAGCCAACAGTTTTCCAGTCTATTCACAGAAGATAAACTCAGTATTTTCAATGCTAAAATCTCAGGGGAAATACAACAAATCTATAACCACCTTTTGGAAATGAGGTAGCTGACTGGACTTTCAGTATTAATTTGACACATGACTGCGTCAAATGAACACTGTGGCCCCGTGGCTGGAAATAGGGGGCTTCATGAAAGCTTTGAAGGACTGAGAGAATTTTAATTTTTGTTTTCATCCTCACCTGAGGAAATTTTTTTCAGTGCTTGTAGAGAGGAAGGGAGGGAGAAGCATTGATTGGTTGCTGCTCATAAATGCCCAGACCCGGGGTCAAACCTGCAACCTTTCAGTTACTAGGGGATGCTCCAGCCAACAGAGCCACACCTGCCAGGATTGAACGGACAGGATTTTGATACAGTTATAGGATGGGGAAGGGAGGGGAAGGTGAAGCTTGTCCAAACCAGGCAAGGAAATGAAAAAGACATATTTATGAAGACCAGAGGTGATCATTCTGGCTGAAAGAATTCATGCTGAGGGGCAAGGCAAGGTTTACTTTTACCTTTTCAAGGAGACATAGAAAACAAAATTCAACATTTTGTCCTTCAGTTCTGTTTCAGACTATTCCTAATCAGCTTCCTCTCTACCATTTCCTATCAGGTTTCTTTTTTTTTTTTTTTTAACTTGCATTCTTTATATAACTTTTTTCTGACTACAAAAGTAATACACTTTTGAAATGTATTCATGTATATTCTGTGGATGTTTTCTGTCTTTGCCCACAGTCATATTGTATTTCCTTATCAGTTTATAGAAGTGCTTTATAAAGACTGCCTCTATTCTGTTCTGTACCATCCTGGTCTGCCCACCTGTCTCACCCCTCTTCACCTGGGCCCTCTCCAGGTGGGCTACCGCCATCAAAATCTCAATCCTCCGTTTCTTCTCTTAACGACTCCTTCCGATTTCTGCTCTAGCTGAGTCTCGAATTCCTCCTGATAGCTCCCTCTGTCGCTCTTTTTTCCTCCCACCACTGGGAGAGAAAAATTAACTTCATCTTTTAAAACTTTTTAAACGTGCTACTAGAAAATTTTAAGTTACATATGCGGTGGGCGTTATATTTCTGTTGGACAAGGCTACTGCAGATGAAGGGAAGGGTCCACGTTCCTAAGACCAAATGATCATACACGAGACCCATGACCTCTTGCCTACCCCAGGGTACAGCTCCAGCGAGACTCTCCATCGTTTTTGTTGTTGTTGTTGCCACTCGACAGGATCTTGCCCTTTACCAAAAACACACAGTTGCTTCTGTCATGTTACAATACACACAAAACACCCACTCTTAACTCATTCCTCCAGCTACTGAACCAGTTTTCTGCCCCACTCGGCAGCAAAACGTCTTCTGAGGCTCGTTTCCACCCCGTGGTGTCGGATTTCTTTCCTCCCATTCTCTCCAGGACGCTTTCGCCCAACCACCTCCACCACGCCAAACCTAGGGCCAGATCTCAGCCCCCATCGAAGGGACCTGTCAGCCTCGAGCGGTTTACCACGCCCCGCTCCTTGATGCTGAGCCCTCTTCAAGTCTCCTTTGCTTATCTCTTAACTTGGGAGTCCCTGGGGCCGATCCTCGGACCCCTTCTCTTCTCCACCTACACTGCCTTGTAAACAGAAGTCAATTTTACGTGTACAGACACCAAATGTGCATCAGCAGCTCGGGCCTCTCCAGAATCAAGCCGGAGGAGGGAGAACCCCTGGGGCGGGTCCGCACCAGGTTCTACAGGTGGCAGAGCAGGGGGCGGGGGGCGCGAGTTTGGAGGTTCAGGAGAGAAGAGGAGGGGCAGGGATTAGGGCGCGGGACTGACCTGCCGGAAGCTCCGCAGCAGCAAGCCTAGCGTGGAGGCCGCCATGTTGTCCGCCGCAAAGTCAAACCCCTACAACTTTATTGACTCCGCCCAATACAGAGACGCTCGAGGGGTGGGGCCTGAGCGTCAGGGGCGGGGCGAGGCGGCAGGCGGGGCTCCAGCCTCCCGGCAAAAGGGGTTATTTATTGGGTGTGCGTTCTCGTGGTAATTGACTGAACTCGGGCAAACGTCAAAGCTGGGAGCGCAACTTTTATACTGATGGGCAGTCTGGCACTCCTCGCTCGAGGCTCCCTTTCCTCTGGCTTTCCCTGCCCGCTAAGGCTACCTTCGTCCCTACCCACGCCCCTTCCTTCGGCCCCGCCCGCCCTTTCCTTGATCGTCGCCAAGGCCCCTAAATCCTCCATCTTACTCAACCTGTTCCTCTTCATAGGTCCTGCATGCAGTTTAGGGGGCTACTTGCCAGACACCGACAATTATTGTCAGTCCTCTCTATCATCTCCCTGTAGATGTTCCAAATCAGCTTTCTGCGTTCATGGTGATAATGATCGTGTTGATGGTGGCGATGATACAGTTCCCATTTATGTCTATGTATACAACAAACACGTATTCTGTATTTGAAGGGGGGCATTGCCGTTTAAAAGCTGCTGATTCAGTCAGCAGTGCAGGGAACTTTCAGGTCATCTTACTCATTTTTAGTTGTAAATTAATTTTTAATTTGGTTCAGTGGTATTAAAGACATTCACACTGTTGTACCGCTGCAACCACCACCTATCTCCAGAACTTTTTATCTTCCCAAACCCAAACTAGATGCCCACTGGGCAAGGGCTTCCCATTGCCCGACACCCCTGGCCCTGGTGCCACTGCTTGGCTTCGGTCTCTGTGAATTGGACTCCTCTTTGTAGCTCGTATAGGTGGAGTCATACACCTGTCCTTTGATGACTGGCTTCTTTCACTGAACATGTGTAAGAGCTTCATCAAAGTGGTAGCGTGTGTTGGTGCTTCACTCCTCCTCGTTGCTGAATAATAAATACCCCATTGTATGGACATACCACCTCCCGCTTATCCCTTCATCTGTAGGTGGACATTGGCTTCGCATCTACCTTTTGACCTTGTAAGTAATCCTACTGTGAACAGGTGTTTACTGTACCTTAAACAGCATTGCTGTCTTATGAGGCTGTTTTTCACAGTACGAGAAGATATCAAAGCAATTTAATGGCTGGTAAGATAGGCGCTCAGAGATAGTGAGATAAGACTCCAGGTCTTCTTTAATTGATTGTGTTGGTTTGTGAAACAGCCCAAGATCTTTCCCCCCAGTGCACCTTCTCCCACTAAGTGTGGGAAGCTGGGCAAGGCCAGACAGAGGCTCGTTTACCTCGAGTTCTCCCGAGGGGTCTCCAGTTCCCCGGCCTTTTGACAGAGTGTGGGCAAGGCTCTTGGGCTTACTGTCCTGGAATTCCAGGATCCAGAGGACCATCATCATTCATTCATTTATTCGATCAACAAATTTGTTTTAAGCGTCTGTTGTATACCAAGGTGTGTGTGTGTGAGGTGGAGTGACGGAATAAAAACCTTTGCCCTTCTGATGCTTGTATTCAGCTGGAGGTTGTAGAGCTGGACAGAGGTGGACACACCTACTGTCGCCGTTGCATGGCCTCTGCTTTCTCCTCTTGCCTCGGCTTTGGAGGCCAGAACGGTATCTTGGGGTGAGCAGAGGAAAGTTTAAGAGTTAAATTGTTTCGCGATTTGACTGTGAGAGACTGTTCTATCACAATCTAGAATCACAATGTTGATTCTAGGCCCAATGAAATAATAAAACGATTGTATAGGTAGTGAAGTTGAGGCACAGAGAGGCTGGGTGACTTGCCACAGCCCCTTCTGTTCGTCCCCATCCACACTGTCCTCTGGAGAAATGCTGGCTCAAGGACAAAGGCCCGTCTGTCACGGCATCTTTTCTTATGAAACCGGTCAGTTGCTTAATGTATAGATTTTGTTTCAATTCAATCAATACCCCAATGAAATTTTTCTTAACAAAAGTAATTAAAAAATATATATATATATATATATATGAATAAGAGAAATGGGAGGGAGGTAGAAAGCTATGAAATTTTTGAAAAAGAAAAACAGCACTATTTTTCCCTGCCAGTTACTAAAAGGCCATATGACATTGCCCACGACTGACTGGTTGGGTTCTGGTGCCGAAGCCAACAGACAGGTGCGGGAACTAGAGCAGGTGTGCCAGAAAAACACTATCGGTGTAATTACAGTTTGGATTTTCTTAAAGGAAGCAGAACAAGTATTGCACAAGTGGTATTAGAACAACTGTTTAAAGACTTGGGAAAATGTTTTAGTTATATTTTTACCTTTTACCACTTACCAAAATAAATTTTAGATAAATGAAAGAGTTAAATGCTAACAAACCTTACAGAGAAGAAAACATAGACAAATACGTGTTTAAACTTCAGAGTCACACATAGAATATTTGCCGGTACATGCCTGCCTTTGGAGTCCCTGTTCTGCCCGGGCTGGCTCAGGACCTGACCACCGTCCCCGCCGGGCCCGCAGTGCTCCCCACATGGTGGTCCAGCACAGCCCCCAGCACCCGGCCTCCCACCGAGGGAGAGCCGGATGAGGGCTTGGACTCAAAGACCCCGGCCTGGAGCAGCGTTTGGTGGTGAGAGGCACTGCGGTCAGGAGGACGGTGAGGGCGACAGGAAAGAGCGTGGGCACTGACACACACACACAGAGCATTTCAGCCCTTGCTCTGAGATGGTGTGGGTGGACAACCTGCCTGCCTTAAACACTGCCGGCTGGACAGTAACCCTCTTGGTGTGCTGGCCTGGGCCTGCAGTAGGGGTGGCCTTTGCACCTGCTTCTGGTAGCAGCCCCAAGTGCCTCCCCACCACCTGGGAGTCTCGTCCTGGGGCTCTGTGCTGTGCACGAATTGGACACAAGGTGGCAGTAGTATCACACTTGAGCTCCAAACCCCACCTCCCTTCCGGACCTGTTCCCCTGCCAGGGCTGAACGCAAACTGGAAACACACACACACAGGCGCACACATGCACCTCTGTCCACCAAATAAGATGATGGCACATTGACATGTTCCTATCATCGGGCAGGACCTGTGTCTGAGTCTGCCTTCTTTACAGGAGTCGTAGGCGAGACGGGCTGCCCAGTGTGTAGGTCCAGTGCAAAATGCAAAGGTAGGACCCCTTGTTTGAAATCAGGAAAAGTCCCTGTTGAAGGTAGTAAAATACAGAGCTGAGATGAGGGGCAGTGAGACAGGCCCCTCTCACTTCTCGCCTGGTGGCTTCTCTGAAGTGACACGGACAGCGGAGGAACCAGGGGCCTGCTGGCCACGCACATGCATGGCTGGCTGCCTAGTGCGGGGCAGTGGACACCCACGGGAACCTCCGGAACCAGTGGGGGACGGAACGGCTCCTCGAGGGTCTCAGAGATGAGGCATCACTAATATAGGACCGCATCCCCCCTCACTCTGTCCCCGTGCTGGCTCTGCCCTGCTTCCCCACTCCTGCTCCCTGGGGTCCTTGCCTAAGCCTCCTACTTGCCCATCAACCTCTGTCTTGGACTCTGCTTTGCAGCTGGTGGGGCAGGTGTGGAGGGGCTCGGGCTGAGAGAAAAACACCAGCCAACGGGTCACCCAGAGGGTGTTGAGTCTGCTTCTAGATTTTCTGTCTCCATTCCCCGGACCTGCTTCATCTTTTGGGCTCCTTATTGCTCTTTTTGCGTCCACTTTTTCTAAAGTTTGACCCATCACCTCCCCCCCAAACACATCCACCCTTTTCTGAGGCCGGAATGAGCCTTCTCAGACATGAACTTCTCACTTTGGTAGCTCCCCATGGCCAGCAGAATAAAGCCCCCTGCGGCGCCATTCCCCATGCCCCCCCCCGCCCCGCCCGCCCACTGGGCTGCCCATCTTCCTTGGGTCCTCCTGCCTCCTGAAGCCTTTATTTCAGGGACCCTCCCCATCCAGTTCGGTTTGGTTCATCAATGCTTAACTGAACACCAGGTGCACAGTGGCTTCTCCAAGGGGTGGGGAGGAGCAGATGAGTGGGTGAGAAGACGCTGCAAACGACAGGGGTGAGCGGCGCTCACAGGTCACCAGAGTCCCACGCAGACCAAGGCTGTTAGCCGCCCACCTCCGCCGAGGGGCCTGAAAATACGCCAGGCCCAGCTGTGGTGGGGTCTCGCGGGGAGATAGGAATCTTTTCTTCTGCAGAACGTTGGAGATCTTGTAGAAAACTAAGGTTCTGAGTGGGGGAGATATATGAAAAGCCTTATTATCCTGGTATCAATCCTAAAGACTGATGTCTAAATAAAGGTAACATGATTGGTGGTTTGCACATTTTAAATTAGTAGTGGAGGGTACTTTACTTCAAAAAACAAGGTTACGTCATCTTCCCAGCAGTTTCCAGGAGACACTAGCATATTTGGTTTTGATTTGTCGCAGATACTAGGCATGCAAAGAGGTTTTTCTTTCCTGTGTCTCATTTTCCATCCTCATTTTCAGTGTCTTCCTGGCCCGAGGGCTTGGAAAGGTTGGTTTCCCGCCTGCCTCGCTCTGCCTGCAGGTCCCGGACTCCGTGCACAGGGTGGCCCCGGCCCAGGGGCTGGGGGCCGCTGCCGCGCTCCCAGCTGCTACGTGGCTCTTCTTCCCTTCTGCTGTGACTCAGAGGCGTCGAGTACGCTGGAGAGAGAAGCGCTTTGGGAGAGTGTTGTCTCCCAGAGAGGCGCGGCCAGCAGGGGGTCCCCAGCCTTCTGTGCCCCTCCCCGCTGCAGTCTCAGCCTCCCTGCCTGTGTGCTGGCTACTCTTCCGGGCTCAGCTCCCTGCCCCCTTCCTCTCGGGCTCACCCCCACTTCTCAGGCCCCGGTTTGCTTTTCCTCATTGTATTTATTTCCTGTGGCTGTAGTGACAAGTGCCCCAAACTGGGTGACTCCAAGCACAGAAATGTATTTATTCCCCATAGATCAGGTGCCAGAAGTCCACGATCCAGGTGCCAGCAGGACGCACTCCCTCCAAAGCCTCTAGGGGAAGAGGCCTCCATGGCTGTTCCAGCTCGGTGGCCCCTGGC